GGGGTTTAAGCCTATAGGCTGTCCATTCCGGGTATTCTCTTGATACCGTTTCTCATACACTATGCGGTCGGCGGGAGTTCCTTCGGCTACCTGCGCCTCCAGCCAAACATCGCCCTTCTTTACCAAAATTGGAGGGAGTGACCATCGCGCATACCCCACCACTTGACCGGTCTCGACATCGATAACCTTCTGATGCCGCTTGGTTTCTGTGCCGGTCACCAGATTCCAAGGAAGGCGCTCGATGGCCCCAGGGATAATTCTTTCAGCAGATGGGTCATCCCATAGACATTTCCAGTGATGGTCGGTGAGACGAGCACCCATCATGGTCGCTGCGAGACCCGGAGCATCTTCCGGGAAACAGGGCTGAATAATAAATGGCATAATGGAGAATGGGGAGAAGGTTTGATGGGCTTCAGCTTCTGGCCGGGGGGATGCGGTGGTTGATATAAAGAGGGAGCATCTTGACACGTTTCAATTTGGGTAGTAATGGGGGTAAGATAGATTACTAGGCTAATCTGGAACAAAAGCTCTGAGGCAACAGTCAGATACTACGTCATATGCCTCGAACTAGCCGAGTTTAAGCAGCGTGACCGAGTTGATTGTGTAGGACTCGTGTATACAAGCTAATGATGGTCTGCGTTAGACATAGAAACGAAGAGCCTGTTAGCTTTGCTGATGCCACTGGACTCCGATAAGCACGTTGTATGTATCTGGGCGATTAATATCACATCAATAGATGATTCAGTGTTATTTCCGCGCAGGACTATTTCTACTACCCTGGTCAAGCCATTATTTCAAAGATATTGTATAAAGGATGGAGAGGAATCGACAATTACATCTGTTCATAGCAAAACGAGGGAGATGATGTTGTCTCCACTTATTGAAGGCTAATGGCACACCGCCTTCATATTCATCCGACAGAAAGAGGCGGTGTATCCACAGTTTTGTACCGGGCGGGGAGACCTTGACCAATCAACGAGCTGGAAATGTCGATGGTATCGGAACATCGATAAAAAAAAATAAGTTACAACACCAACCCATCAAATCATGTCGCACATCACAGAGCATCCCTGTCGGGCGAAGAGAAGAAAGCTTGATGATCCTAAGCCAGAGAAGCAGATCGTTACATCCAATATCAAGTCTGCTGCCTCATTGCGCGACCTGCTCTCTGTCCAGCAAAATGCCCCGTTGGCAAAGCAAGGTGAGGCAGATTGCAAGGCTTCAAAGCTACACCAAAACTGACTAATAGATAGGTATAATCAAGTTTAAAGAGTTCTTGGTGTCAATTGCGCACACAGAAAAAGATAGCGACAAAGCAGAGAAATTGCGTGTCCTCAAGGAGTATTGCGATAAGCAAATCACCAACTCCGGAAAGGAGGATGAAACCTCAGTTTGCTTTGCGGACATCATCCAATCTTGGTCATTTGGCGATAGCAATAACAACGAGCCTTTACTGACCAGTGTCCCTTCTGTTCTTGCGATCTTCCTTAAGACGATTTCATCGGAACTGGAGTTCCGGGAATTCGGAATCGCCCTGTGCAAGCACCTGCTGCAGAAAGACCAGCTGAGATTGTTTAACCGCGGTCTGACGGCAACCAAGTCTAAAGAGCACTTGATCTCACCATGTCTGCGTTTGCTTACCGAGATCGTGACTTTTGACGGTGGAGCAGTTGCACGACAGCTGTACCTTCGCCGGTACATTACCTTTAAGCGACTGGAGGTCTTCTTGACCCCCAACAAATCACAGGAGATCTCAGAGGATGAGTCCAACAAGTCGACCCTCAGACGCAATGCTCAGCGATACCTGCTAGCGAATCTGAGAGTTCAGCATGCTTCCGAGAAGAATGATATCATCGAACAGCACAAGATTACCAGGTCTTTCCTCGAATATATCCGGAAGGATCCGCGGGATACTGTACTAGAAATTATCAAGGCTATCGAGAGGGACGTGGTACAAGATTCCGCTCTGTCCCGCAAATCGAAGAGCAAATTTTTCAACAGACATAACCTCGAACGACTGGTGACACTATATGGCTATGACCGAGAGTCAGATGAACCTAATGCTGGAGGAGTTGTCATTGCCAATGAGATCCACCGAGTCATGATGAATGTGTGCAAAACTGCCGGGCTCGGCGTTCTCTTGCCCGAGACCGGCTGGTATCCCGTCGGAACCGATCCAGAGACATTGGCTGTTGATGACGATGCATGCATTGAATTGGGCCTTGATTCCCCTATCTACGTCGACAAATACCGCGAGTCTGTCCCCGTGCGGAACGGTTCCCTTTCATTCCTCATTCAGTGCCTTCGGCCTGATGTTGATAGTCTTCAAATTGAACTGCTGGTGTCAATCTTCAGGGTGGCACCAGAGCTCATTGCCGATTACTTCTCGAGGAAAACCATGTTCATTTCAGACCCGAAGGCTACTCCTTCATGGATGGCTGAGTCCGCTTTCCTTTTCTCAACTGTGCAGTTGCCTGTCCCTGCAAACTGTGGCTGGAAGGATAAGCAGCCCATCCTGCCGCCGCCGGTTTCTATCGTCATTGAAAATATTCTCCCTCGCCCCCTTGGCCAAAAGATCATGACCCGCTGCCTCAACCAGAATGCGGAGATTATTACTCTATTCGCTGTGCGAATCCTGACTCTTGCGTTCACTAAGCTGCGCGCTGTCCTCAAAATCTTCCAGGCGGATCACGGCCAAGGTCAGCTTTTCTGGAATCAGGCTTCTGCCAAGTTGCTGGCAGAGTTCTCCCGCCGTTGCCCTGCTGTCAAGGATGTTGTTGTCCTGTTCCGAAGAACAGAAAAGGATGACCTGACCCAGCAGGAGGCTGTTGCAGAACTCTTGACCTGTTACTATGAAGTGATGCCGGACATTGCTCTAGAGGAAAACTTTGACGTCTCACTGGTCTTGGTGGATGTCCTCAAGCGACTGGAAGCCCCAGACGTCAGCACGGATGATTCCGAATCGCTTTTGAGTCAACTTCAGAGTATCCTCCAGATCGCACAGCAATCCGCTTCATTGCGTTGGTGGCAAAAGCCGGCATCCATGCAATATTCGCCCTTCACCTCAATTCTCAAGGTTCTGATGGATACTTCGGATAAGGACTCTTCGCGCAGTATCTCCACCCTGCTCAAGACTGTTCTGGTTGATAACTCTGTTCTGCAAAGCTCCCCACACGCATTCGCATCTGTCTTATCAAGCCTTGAGAATTCCGAGGCTGACGCTTTGCACCAACAGCTGGTCTTCTTTGATAATTGTGTCTCACGTGTCGCCAAGAAGCCCGTTCACTACCAGGATCTGCTACAGTCATTGTCCGAGGATGTGTCTAGAACTACTAGCGCGCTTGTCGCTGCTATTGTTGAGCAATGGCCATTTGTGGTCAAGAGTGGAGATGCATCCACAGAAGCTGCCGTTGGAGCCTGGATCGCAAGTCTTCTGGGTAACCTGAAGCAGGCGGGTGAGAGCACCAAGGTTCTCAAAGCTGCTCGGGATGCTCTGGTTGAAGCAACCGAGACCAAGAAAATTAAGTCTCTTCTTAAGAAGTCCCTGAAGGAGGTAGATGATGCCGACAATGAGGACAAGATGGACATTGACTCTGGCTTCAACGTGCCTACTTCATCCAACAAGGCCTCTGCCGTTGACCTCGACGAGATCTTTGGATCCCTGCCTACCGAAGGCACGACCCACAATGCCCTGAACAAATGGGAAAGAGAGGACATTGCAGAAGCAGTGGACCAGGGTCACGTCTCCGAGTTGATGCTCTGCCTTTGTTCGCAGCACGAAGAAGTCCGGAGACAGGCCTTCGCCAACATTATTCGCTTCATGGCCAAACTCAAGGAGTCTACCTATGCAGAATGGCGCACAGTGTTTACTCTAGCTGGTGAGCTCCTCGAGACAGTCAACAACATTGGCATGGAGAAGCCCGTTCCTTGGATTGTTGGCGAATGCGCCTCGAACTGCCTGGAGGTTCTCACAGACCCCCTCCATAAGGTCTACGGCAAAGTCAACAAGTTCCTGCAAAAAGCACCATCCTGGGAAGTTGAGAAGATCCCAACTTACTGGGTCGACAAAATTCTCCTACACGAGCCCGAGTTGGATGATGGGTATTTCGAAGAGATCGACTGGCTCCTGAACCTGTTTATCAAGGCACTCCGCACCGAGGCTGTAAGTTGCTACCTTCCCGGTTTTACACTCTAAAATCACAATTGCTAACACATCAAATCTAGGATATGGAGGTTTACCGTCGAGCCAATGTCTTCGAGCGCATTCTTTCCCTCTACCAGTCCCCAACTCTCGGCCCAGGAGCTCGAAAAAAGATCCTGCATATTGTGTACCGCGCCGCCCAGGTCGGTGGCAGTACTACTTTGATCACCCGTTCCGGTGTCATCAGTTGGATCCAGATCCAAGCTGCAGAGGCTGATGCGAAGGAAGCTGCTCAGCTTGCGGCACTTGCTCGTGCTTTGTATGAGAAGTGTGATCGTGAGCGAGTTGATGGCTGGAGTAATGGGACTCTTGGGCGGGTCGTTGACGAGATTCAGGCGCAGGTTTGAGGGATTGGAATTTGTACAATAGCAGATTGGATCATTGGCGTTCTTGCCTTTCTGGTCATATGTAGTTAGGTAAAATTAACTCTGTTAGATATCCATCCCCCGTGTCTATCTTCTACAATATACCTAGGTACTATCAATCATATCATCCCTTTCTTGTAAGGTTCTCCAAAACCCGACCATCAGGCATACAAGAATTCTGTGGGGCAAGGCCAAAAGCTGCAGGCAGACACCCGCGCAAAAGCCAAAAACCGACCCGACTGCCGACTAAAATTGTGTCAGCCAATGACCTTCTTAGTTCTTCGTTGCGCTGAACTTAATTTACGAGCCTCGAGCTATTGTGACTCTTAAAGTAGTCGCTATATATATCCCGACATCTTTCTCCTTCGGTGTCTATAGTCTCCTACGACTACAGTTATCCCTCAGCCCTTATCTAACATCGATCTTTGCCCACGATGGCTACGTCCCTCGAGTCAGCCCCCACCATTACCGTTTTCCGGGGCTTCCCCGAAAAAGGCTGCTACACCTGGTCGCCATTTGTCACTAAGCTGGAGGCCCGCTTACGTTTTGGCAATATCAGCTACAATGTCGACATGGGCTCGCCCCCGAAAGGCCCTAGGGGCAAGGTACCCTACATCACTCTCGAACGCGATGGCCAGTCTCAATCTCTCTCCGACTCCACCTTGATCGCAAAGTCATTTATTGAGTCTGGACACCTGGAGGATCTCAACCGCAGACTGTCCCCCGTGGAGAAGGCCCAGGACCTTTCCCTCAAGGCCCTGTTCGAAGATAAGCTCTGTTTCTACCAGAGATACGAGCGGTGGGTCGTAAATTACTACGCCATGCGTTCCAAGATCCTCGCCGGCGTCCCCTGGCCTGTGCAGGTGATTGTCGGCAACATAATCTACAATAAGAACGTTCGCAGCCTGCAGGGCCAAGGGACGGGTGGCTTTTCCGGCGAGGAAATAGCCACATTCCAGCAAGAAATCTGGGAATCTGTTAATGGGCTTGTATCGGCTGCGCATGCCAAGCATCGGGATCGGGATGGGCCGTTTTGGGTGTGGGGTGGCGATGCCCCCACCGAGGCTGATTCGGTGCTGTTTGGCTTTGTCGTGTCGGGTTTGGTCTGTGAAGCGTAAGTACACTTTTCTGAGACATGTCTTGGGACGTACACTTGATGATAAATTGTGCTGACCTTTTGCAAGGGCTCCGGAAACCAAGCAGATTTTACATAGTTACCCAGCGCTGGTGGAGTATGCTCGGAGGATTCACGACAAGTATTTCCCGGATTATCAGCTTTGGGAGTAACAGTATCGGGGTAAAATAATATCATTGCATGTAGTCATTTGAACAGTGTCTACCTCTAGTATTATCCATGTAGATCGTTACTTTACTCTTAGCCTTCCTTCCCGACCCATTCATCCCCGAGCCATTCATCTCCGAAACCATTCCTCTCCGAAGCCATTACCCCCCAGTAGTTAACATGTTTGCCCCGTGTATATATAATATATTTCTATGGACCCAGCTAATAAGGCCATTTTACTTTGTATCCCAAAGGATCACCCAAATCGTCTTTTTATTATCACAATGTCAGCCGGTCCTGAGCTTGACAATGCCACTGTGTTAGAGTGGCTACAAGCTGTGAGGCTATTTCTTCTACCAAAGTAGGACAACAAGCTTACATCAATACTTAGTTCCACCGAGCGAGTGCTACTCTTAACACCGACCACTGGCTTGATGAATTCATGACCGAGGATGTGGAGATGCAATATGCAAATAATCCTGTGATCAAGGGCAGCGAAGTGCGGCAGATGTTCAAAACCGTCCTCGGCAAACTAGACATGATGATCCACGATATCCGCTACTTTGACTATGTCGCCCCTCGTATCTATCAAGCCGCGACCATCCGGTATCTTGTCAAAGGAGACAACCTAAACACCGACGAGATTACTATTCCCGGTTTTGCTGTGTTCTCTGTCCGGAAGGATGATGCTGGGCGCGTGAAGTGCTATCGGGCAGAGACCTTCCTAGAGCCGTCGGCGGTGTTTCAACGTATTGCTGAAAAATCAAGCCAACCATGAAGATTCATGGTAGGTATATTCATATTGGCTGAAGTGATGGACCAATTGGCTAACACTAAAGAGCCGTCTATAGGAATAGAAAGGGATTTCTCTCTACGAGGGTGGATTTCTACGTCTCTTAGGTTTGTTCGTTTCATTCTCGATAGCAATTGATGGACATCTTTAGTATTGGGCATAGAATGAATCGGGACCTCAGCCCAAGAAGTGAATTCAGGAATGTGCAGGAGCATATATTGTTAAGCCGTAACTACCTGCTACTTGTATCCTTCAGGCCTCAATGCTTTCATAATAAAATCACGAAAAAATAATGAAAGGAAAAGTATGGCTAAAACGTAAGGAGGGCCTGGTCCCGCACTACACTATTTAATTTATTGCGAGAATATGCAACTAGCAGTATATTTTTTATTTTCCCCAAACATATGACATAATACAGGGCGGCTGGCCTAATGGTAAGGCGTCTGATTTCGGCTGAGCAGTGCTCAAAAATCTCAGAAGACTTGCAGGTTCGATCCCTGCGTCGCTCATTATTATTTTTTTCTTTTTGTTTTTTGATAAATTCCTTTTCTTGCACATTGTTTTAGTCATGAGGTACAGTGATAAAGCAAAAGTTTTAGCAACCCCTTCTACTCCCGCCTTTCTAAATTGGTATACCAACCGTTGTCCCTTGATTTTTTATTGAGTTTGACAGGGATTCGGGTAAATTGCCGGTGTCACTATGGACTATATGATTCATTTAGGTAGCGCCTACCTGTAGATATTTTTTTAATTATGTGGTATATGGAGGGATAGAGGGATGGATAAGCATCTACAACATAATCATTTTAACAATTACAATCGGCCTATGAAAGCAAGCGACGGTCCGTATTTTTTATTAAGAATATATATATATATATTACTGACCAGCAGTTGACTATTTACTTCACAAATCAAAATTCAACAATGAAGGGCGGCTGGCCTAATGGTAAGGCGTCTGATTTCGGCTGAGCATTGCTCAAAAATCTCAGAAGACTTGCAGGTTCGATCCCTGCGTCGCTCATTCAATTTTTTTGTCGTTCGTAAATAATACCTACTCATGTATTTATTTTTATTCATTTTAACAATTACATTTATTTTATTTTACTTTTAGTAACTACTATTTAGTTACCGTGGTTCTTACTATATATAATATAGTCATTATATCTTTCTTGAATGAAACTTTTATTTACTACCCACCGTTGCGGCGGACCTTTTACTGATCCTCAACACTGCCCCACTTTGGGATAGGGTTATGACACCAGCAGCGGCTCCAGAAGATGCATCTTGTAGTTCAGATGATACAGAAGCAGTGGAGTATTCTATTCCTTGGAATGATGTCATCTCCTAGGGAACGGAAACATAGGCAAGTAGAATAACACAACTAACGTATTCCACATGCCCACAAGCGAGCTGCGCAGCTGAAATGGTAAATGCGATATACTCTACGTCTATATCTCGACAGCCACCTTTTTATTTAAGCTCTTTTTTCATTGGTGGTCATCAATGTGACATATTAACACTATACTTCAATTTCGAGGATAGTAGAGTGCTATATTATCATCAGTTCGAACCTACTGGAAATTACATTACTACAACTAGAATATATATATCGGTATCATGAAGTTAGGATTTGTTTTTATTCCTCAAACTCCCTCTATGACAATTTGTTGAATAAAAAGTATTAGACCACAAGAGAAATCTCATTTAGACATGCATTGTTGAGACATCTAGTTGTAATCTATCGCATTTACTATAGTGTTTCAACTGCGCAGCTCGCTTGTATGCATGTGGAATACGTTAATATCTCTCCCACGATATGATATAATATATAGGAACAATAAAGAAACGCCGCCAAATACCAACGGTCGTGAAGTCGAACGAACCTTACTCCTTGAGGAAAATTTCGATCGTGAATAGGCCTCGGAAGAGTTACTGTTGACCAAAAGCTAGTATCTCTGATCGCGCTCTAGTCGATTTGCCGCTGGACTCAAATGACAAAACTCTCCATTCGACTACGTCTAGTAATAGGAGAACCGCTCTCCTAATGATTAACCACGTGGAGATCAAAGCATAGACGTCATATAAATCACCTAATAGTATTAACAAGCCTACGAGTCTCTGACATAGGATTCCTCGCGATGAGACAAAAACGCCATGTTAAAATCTCAACCCTGGCCTAGTTAGGCATATGTAGCCTCCAAATGGCAGTAGTTGACAATTTAGTAATGGTAGAGTCTGAAATAATATGTAAGAAAATACATCTATATTTTCTTGAATCTCTTAGATTGACAGCAACTGAAATACTAAATGCCATTGTTGGGAGATGGGATGGCAATGAGTCAGGAGGATGGGTAGGAACGCCATAATTATATGATTACGAGACCGCTGGTTGTTTGCTGGTTTGATACAGCTTCATCATATCTTTTCTCCCGACAGATAGATAGTGTTTTTCTCTCCTAAGATCATGAATTACGCCTGCTTGTTTTTTTTTTAAAAAAAAGAACAAACAGCTTCTTCCTCTGTCAATTCACAGCTCCTATTCCTTCACATATTCTACCACAACTGTCCCGCTCCTTTATTTCTAGCCTGGTATTCAACACCACCTATTATTTTCTAGTGCTTTACATTGCATCAGTATCTATCTTTCGTGTTTGTCCAGCTCCTCCTAATGTCAGGCTTACGTGATAGAGCCATCAAGGCTTTCAAGCACCGCCTGCCTGTTTTTTATCAGCAATGCAGGCCCCTGGTTGACCCTTTGATATCACTCCTCTCAGAGCGAATATATCTCGATATCGACAACATTGATCTTCCTCTTTGGAGGGACCAAGAAATCAAACAACAGATGGAACTTCGAAGTAAGATTGTTGGACATCTAATAAACGAGCTGCGGCAGGCGCATATCGAGGAAGTTCAGTTTGACGATGATCGCGAGGATGATATCTTTACCATTGTCCTATACTGGTATCTCAAGGACAACTCAGCCAAATTCCTTCTGGAAAGGCAAAAGGCAAGAGAACATATATGGTCCACGACCCTCTTCTCGGGGTTTGAGAGACGCTCTTCCCGGTCAATCGCACATACCACCGAGCGAGCTTTAGAGTACTGCTCGCCACTTGCCCCTCGTTTTATTAGACGCGAGTCACTTTGCGCGCCCAACTCATTCTATGGAGAAAGAGATGTGAGTAAGGAGGCTTATTGGAAGATGATGCGTGAATATACTAATTGAAGTTGTATTCTAGCCTCAGACAGGACAACTCAACCAGCCTTATGACTACTCGGATGATGAAGGCCAGCCCACCGACCTTGAAGATGACACCAATGGTGGATTCATTACGGAAGAGGATAAAAGCGAGACAGAGGGGTACTTGCAAGAGGAGCTGTCGAAGATGTATCTCCCTTACGTTGAGAAGCCCATGAAGTACGGCAAGCGTGCCAACCGCGACGATGATTCTGGTGATAAACATGCCAAGAAAGATAATAGCGAGACAAAGATGCCCTCGCAAGAGGAGATGTCGAAAAGGTATCTCGCTCGTGCTCAGAAACAAATGAGTTACGGCCAGCGCGCTAGGCCAGATATCAATTCACAAGAAGAATCCATCTTGCTAGAGGAACCTCTCCAAAACATCGCAAAGATACATACCACACAGGCTCTTATTCATTTGCTTGAAAGGACAAATGAAGAATTTCATGAAAGATATGGAAACATTCTAAGCCGCATTGGAATGCTGTCGGTGAAAGAAATCCTACAGGATGCTTTTACCCCGGAAATAAGGTCATTGTTTTCGGCCCTAGAGTCAGGCTCCATTGGGCTAGATGAGTAATTTAAATGTTTAGATATGATTTCTGAACTCGAGATTAATCTTTCTTAGATTACGGCAACTTGGTGGACACCCAGAAGAAGACGATTGCCCAGGAGTCTATCTTCACATTATGTGGACTCGGCAAGGGAAATTCTGGCTCTACGTTGGCCAATCGATGAGTATGCGAGTGCGAATTTTGAAGCACTGTGATCAAAAACACCGAGTAAGGAACCCGTCTCTACACTACAGTGTTTGGGATTCCCAAGATGTTGTTGGCGATATTTGGGTCACGCTATCCCGCTTTCCCGATTTTAAACTCCCCAAGACGAGTATATCTTGCCACCAACTGGAGGATCGCGCCCTACTTCTGAATCTTGAGGAAATGTTTATGTCATGTGTGCTTCAAACTCTCCGGCGTCATCACTTGGAGTGCTACTTGCCCAAGGGGACCTCAATTCCATGGGCAGGCTCACATTTGAACATTGCGCTTCCACTATGGCAGGGGTTCTCTACTCAATCAGGAGAGGTAGTTACGCGGCAAACATTCATCGATGCCATGCATAGCTCTGACAAAGCAGTTCGCGAATGGGCAGCGTCTTGGAGAAACTCCTACAATTCCCTCCGATATTCTTCTGACCCCTTACTCCGTGGATACTGGGCTCAACAGATGGCAACTATGAGGAACTCGGACCTATCAGCCGCAATGGAAGGTGTATAGCGGGCAAAAAAGGAAAGATATCAAGAACTGCTGAAGTCCGGAAGTACTGTTAAAGTTTATCAAGACTCACGCAGCCCTAGGATGTTTTTCCTTTGGGGTCATCATAGATTTATCTTTCCTCTTTTAAAGGCTGTCCGGGAAAACTTTCCCTGTAGGCCTAACGAGGAGTTATATTTCCGCCCACTTCTATTTCAAGCCCCCCAGAGATTCCCTTTCGCACGTCAAGCCCTAGCTACAGATCCCGCTAGCAGGCTGATAGTTGCAGTGAGACTTAAGAGAGGGGACACATATTACTGGGGCTGGCCATACACTAAAGGAAAGATGGCAGTCTTCCATATGAATCACTTCGTCGATTGCCTTGAAGGATTATCTCTCACGCAATCCCGGCAACTGCCACGACGATCACCAAGCCTTAAAGATGGTCGAAAAAGCATTGAGATAACTGATTCGGAGGATCTTCCCGAAAACGCTGTTCCTGATTCTCTCTTCCAAGAGATTGTATCGCATGATTTTCTTCCCTAGTATCTGATTTTTTTCTCCTTTTTTTCTCCACTTTTTATTTTTGAACCTTAGAACGATCCGTCGAGGAAATAATTTCGAGCTCTGAGAGTGACAACCCTTGTTTAGTTGTGTTATTGTTAGGACTTTCGTTGTCGCTGTTGTCGTCATTGTCACCCTTGCCACCCTTCTCGCCCTTCTCACCCTTGAGGCTCTGATCACCCTTTGGTCCTGGTTCACCTTATCTCCTTTAGGCCCAGGATGACATTCCTTGTAATTATTATTTGGTAGTCGAGGCCAATTAGGATTTGGTTGGGAAGACCCCTGTCCTTGATGTGCAAGGAAATGAAACCACAGATCATAGTGGCTCCAACCGGAGTATCCCGATCCTAGATGATTGAGTTAGCATCTTACACTTGGTGGTGGATCGAGAAGGACTCTGCGTACTGAAGGGATCTTCAAACTCGGGAGAGTAGAAGGGAGGTCTCAAGCTAAAATGGCTAAATATATTCTCAGCTCTCGATGGTGAATAAGAATGGTAGCCGGGTTGAAGAGGGATCCGATAGCGGGGCGAATAATGGTAAAATTGATTCGCTGGGCCACGATAGTACCCCGGTGGATATAATTCAGCAACAATTCGATGCGTTAGCTGCAAAGGGATTTCAGCCGCTCATCTAAAGAGTAGGAGTGGAGTCAAGAACGTGCGTGACGCGGGGATTTGAGTCGATAGTGTAAACCAGATAAAGCATGTTGAAGAGACTGTCACTACAACACTATACCAATGCAATCTCCAGAGTGATATGAATGACATTAAGAACAAACATCTTTCTATATCAGAGATATACTATATGGTATGAAATTTTTCACCTGATGAAATAGATCAGTTTGCCTACTTAGTAGACCAACTATTTATTGTCAAGTCTTCAATGTCATTGATACAGAGACTGAATATTATATGCTATTACTCATGGACTAGCTGCGCTACATGCTTAACTACTCTTGTTCATATATTATTCTAACAAAGCAAGCCATATAAAGAATAAAAATTGTGTTAATGTATTCCTATAATGCACGTAATATTGTTTCAAAATACCCAACTACTATTCATATCTTGAGCGCAAGAACTAATAGCAACTCATTAAGGAAAGCTCGTCGGTTCACTCGGGATCATCCTTGTCCTCCAGCGCATGATGTAAACAATAAAAACAGGGTACGTCTGCGTCGCGTGTATAGAGCGATCTCGCTCCTCTCTTTTGTGAATCGCATCGAGCGCCGCGGGCTGAAGGAATTCTTGCACTAGCTGAGTTACCTCAACATTGCCTATCTGTAGCTGTGCCAGGCTCGAGCTTAGGGAATCATTCCGTAGCTTGCGGATTCGTGTCTCAACGTCGTCGAGGAAGCTGTCGGCAGTCTCGCCATCTCCAACGTGAAGTGTGACCGCGCCGATCTGCTCGCGCGCCTGCTCTGTGGCTCCGCCGTGTCGGAAGGTGGTGGTGGAAGCTGGGGTTGTGAGGCTGAAGCGTTCGATGGTGTCGTTCTCAGGTAGTAGATGAAGAATATGGATTGTGGCACCAAATTTACCAATAATAAGGAGCGCAGAAGGAGTGGTGGAGGTAGTGAATGAGTTTTTAGAACGGGCAAGCATTATGTGAGTTGAAAATAGTTAAATGAAGAGATATTGATTCTTGATTTATTTGTGACTTGCCAAATGCGACGAAAGAAACCTACAGAGCACACTCATGTGAATTGAATGAGGCAAATAGCGCTAACCTAGAAGGACGCGCGTGGTCCAACGCCAACTACTATCTCATTACTAGTATACCAGCTTGGAATTGCAATGCTGCCCAAACAAAAAGCCAGCTTCTATTATGAGACAGAGGACTAAATGCAGTATACTCTTGCAGGCATCCTACCTGAAGGGGAAATGAATTTTTGTCAATTAGTGATCAAATAACGTGCGTGATAAGCGGGTGAGACACCAAATCGCCGCAACGCGATCACCAACATTCAACCGCGTTTTCCCTCAACAACAAAAATGGAATTGTCAAGAAAAGAAACCTAAGTAATGTGACCTTTCTAAGCTGACCCAAAACGACCCAAATCTAAGTGCCTGAGCTACCGCAAATATCTACTTCATGCAACTCTGAGTCGGCGGCTCAAAGGAATGGCATCACAGCGCGATCTCAAGCCTAAATCGCGGGGATTCACTAATAACTAGCCCAATTACCGAGGCTAGGGGATTCTTCTTATATAGGTCAGCGTGTGCGCATATTTAAATACTCAATCACTTATGTCGGAAATCACCGGTACAGCAATGTATGTTCAAAATGACTGAGGTGTATGACTCTAACTAACTAAAATGATAACAGCCCACTATTTGACAATCTGTTTGGGCATAACTGACTAAGCTTAATATGCAATTTGTATGGGGCCCACTATCACAGCGGCCCGTGTATTTTCCGAGGTGTTGAATACTCGGGTTCCCAGTCATGTATGGTAACATAGCTTTCGACAACTTATTCTAGTCCCTTCCAAGACCTCACTCGTCCTTACCAAAACCAGAAAAGAGAGACTGAACCCCAGCATACAGACTAATTTTCTGCTTGACGATTCAGAAAATCTTAAAAACAAAAAAACATACAACAGTGAGGATTCGCTGGTGGTCACCCACCCAACTACTAACTCACCGGCGTGTGGCTTAAGTACGGCTGAGCGGACGGGAAGCCCTGTTTTCCACACCCTATGGTCGTATGTATCAGGTTACGTGTGGAAGGGGATGATATGATACAAAGGGATGAAAGGGTGAGTGGCTTATTGACAGGGTTAGAAGCACCCTAGTCGTCTGGATTCGAGTGCGCACAACATGGAATTTTTCCTCTTCCAGATCTGTTTAATTGAGATAAACTATGTGAGAGTAATAATGATTTTAACTTCACATAGCTTTGTTGGTGACCGTCCGAATCAGCACCTTCACCTTCTCCTGGCTCCATTCTTCCAGTCCGACAAGGGCATTATCATCTCTTGCCCAGGGGTGTGCCAGCGCTTTGGTAGCCAGGCAGTACTGGATCTGGACCACAAAGGTTGAATCACTAATGTTGCCTGACTGAAGATCCGCTAACGCGTTTTGGAAAAGAGGTTCCATGTCATTATATGTGGCCGTCCACCCCTTGTTACCCAATGCCTCTTTTGCTGCGTCGAAAAGTTGATTTTGCGACATGAACACGGAGTGGACATAAACAGGCCGATTCAGAGTTTCTTGCGGATGCAAAAGCACATTTGCAGTTGCTTTGCCAACATCCTCCAATGTCGTCCATGGAACAACGTTGCTTCCATCGCCGAAGATCCAAGCTGTCTTTTCTTGGAAGTTCAGACCGGCAAAACCAGTGGAGAGACCCCAGTCAAGAAAGGCACCACACGCTACTAGAGTGTAGGTTAAGCGGTTATCAGCCGCCTGTTTCTTCACGGCCTCATAAGAAACTTTCTTCCGGCTGAAAACGGGAATATCATGAACACCTAGTAAGTCCGGATCGAGCCCAAAGTCGCTAGTTATACTGATAATGCAAAAAATAAGCGATTAGTAAAAGATAAAAGGGTGTAATTCTCATAGGTTTACAAACAAGCGATAAACTCCAGCCTTAGCAGCTGCTTCAATAAGTCGGAGGGGTGTGTCAACCTCAGGTGAAAAGGTAGTATCGATGACTGCGTCCTGTCCGGCGATAGCAGCAGACAAGTCCTCTACTGAAGTGAAATCAACGACCTTCACGCAAGCACCGGTTGGAAATGATTTAGAATTGCGGCTAAGCACTGTCACATTGAACTTGAGATCAAGTAATGCATCGAGTACCCGAGCTCCGACATTTCCACTAGCCTATCAGCTTGTCAACTTGAACAATATGACGTTTTGAATTATACCCTTACCCCGGCAAGAGCCACATTCTTGATTGCGTGTGACATTTCTTTTTGGAAGGTTCATTTGAAGTCAGGTATTTGATGAGAAGAGAAAATTGGGAAGAGGAAGTAGTAAATGATGAGCGATAATCACTGAAGTTGATCTCCCATTTAATATCTACCCTCTAGGAGGGTTAGAGCGAGACAGACTTCACCGGAGATCGAGGATGGATATTCGGCTTTATTCATATTCCCGATTATATAAAACTACGGAGACCGCTTATCTCCGTATTCCCTTACAGAAGTATTTGGGGCTGGAAAGGAAAGCTTGACTAGATCGTGTATGATGAAATCATAAAGGCTGTCCTCCTTTTTTAATAGGAGCATTGTACAAGAAGAGTCGGCCGCCTATGCAGTCTTGTCATGGTATTTTTGGTAGTCCTTTGAGGATTCTTTTTAGATATATGTTTAGATGTACCCTGCCGTGCCAGCTCGGTCGAGAACAATAGTAATGCTTCGACAAATGCGATATGATAGGTGTGATGTGATAGATGTGATATAAATTGCCATGCATATTGCCAGCCAATTACTGTCCATTATCGCCTCACTTCGTGTTGGCAGTGAAACAGCAATTTGATGGACACCCTGGTCGAGTTCATACACAATACACATACATAAAAAGAGGCCCACAAGCCCACAGATTGAGCACAGCGAAGCTCGCTCTACTTATTGATCCTTTTTAAACCAGTCCCGCGGAGCACCCAGAAATTAACTCACATCTGATCTCTTTCTATCGCCCACTACGGAGTAAGGGTTTTTCTAATTTGTTCATCGTTATGGACCAAGGTCAGCAGAAATTTGGCGTTATTGTGATACCTATGTCTAAAGTTTCCAGGTGTCACGATGTGCACTTCTTTCTACATACAGTATACCTGTGGGTGCAAGAAAGAAACGGAGTTCGTTCAATGCACCGAGCATCAAGGAACAAATTTGAAATGCAAGTCTATTAAGAAAGAGCCAGGCAAAGAGTCTACAAACTACTGTAGCGGGCATTTTGTCTATCCTGACCCCCCTCAGAAGTAATTTTCGGACGAGGAGTTACAGGATTGAACAGCCAGGTTTAAGATATGAAAGGCAATATCTCCTATTGGGGCCAGTGTACAATCCACATCAACCCGATGTTTTGCGGAAAGTCCTCATCAAAGTACTGGACTTCTTCGTCCCCTCGTTGGCCGTGTTGCTACCCGATGTGGCGCCGCATATGGTGATACTTGGACATGGTGAAACCCACCACCACTGTGGATCCTTATCTGGTTTCCCCTGCCACCACCAAAAACAATTAATCCAAAGATAAAAAACGGGTGAGGTGACAAAACAGGCAGTGGGGGGAGGGCAGGGGGCAGAAGTCTTACAATAGAGGAGGAACCCAACTTGATGCAGGCACTAGAACCTACAGGGGATCTCATTCTCCGGGTGGGGTTGCGCTTTTGTTATATTGATGTTTCAATTAGTTTGGGGATTTAGGCTGAAAAGCAGGATGTTCATTGATTCATGTGTAGTTCATTAAACAATAATGTATATCGAGGGCGTCATTCTTGACGGAAAGATGTCATATCCATTCAGTGTTTCCAATTACTCCTACATGTTGGGCATGTGGAAGCATGATTTGTTTCTAGCCATTGGTCGATGCATTTCTTGTGGAAGTTGACTCCACAACGTGCCTTGCACCAAACCAATTCTTCGGGGTGTTCTTCATCATCCGTATCGTCGTCGTCATCGTCATCTTGATCATCATCAGCGTGGTCTTCACCACCACTGTTTTCGCTCTCCTCTTCTTCGTCCCAGTCTTCATCTTGCGAACTATGCAAATTGCACAAACAGATACCACATTCTCCTTCAATCTCCCGGCGATTGGGCTGGGAAATTCTACGCTGGCTGTCCGTGTTGCCAATTCTACCGGAGGCGCGAGCGACAGTTGGTGTGTTCACAGGTCTTGGGCTCGAAATAGAAACAGATGTTGTTCGACGACTGGTTTGAACTTGAACTGGCCGAGGTACATTGGTTGTTTGACGACTGGCTTGAGCTTGGACTGGTCGAGGTACATTGGTTGTTTGACGACTGGCTTGAGCTTGAACTGGCTGAGGTGCATTGGTTGTTTGACGACTGGCTTGAGCTTGAACTGGCCGAGGTACATTGATTGTTGACTGATTGGCTTGAGCTTGGACTGGTCGGGGTACATTGGTTGTTTGACGAGTGGCTTGAGCTTGGACTGGTCGAGGTACATTGGTTGTTTGACGACTGGCTTGAGCTTGAACTGGTCGAGGTACATTGATTGTTGACTGATTGGTAGAAGATTCTGTCAAATCTCTTCTCAATGTTTCGTTGACACGATTTACTGGAGGGTTTCCGCTCGATGCGCGGCCCGCGGTGCTGGAATAACCGACTGCGCTCATGTTTCTACCCTCGCGATGAGAGGGGTTTGTAGTAACTGGTAGGCCAGATTGAGCGACCTTGAGGCGCCTGACCTCTTCCTTAGCCTCACGAAGTCTTTGTTGAAGAACGGCAATTCTCTCCTCCATATTCGCCTCGGCAGTCTGTGAGATAACTCGGGATGGTGTTCGCACTGGCCGTGTATATCTCGTTGAAACAACCTGCGAATCGAGATATGTACGGACTTGTCTTTTCCAACGACGCGCGAGATCCCAAGCTTGGCTCTGGTGGAACCTTGTGCATAAAACATAAGGAGCTAAATCCTCCAGCAGTGTATCGATGTTCCGACCGGCTCGAAGGTCTTTGGTACCCTCGTTGAGAAGCATCATTGCAGTACTACGACCGCGTGCATTTGTGCGGGCGTGACAACGACGGCCCTGTGAAGGAGCATAACCAGCACACCAAGGCTCTTCTTCCGGTTCGAGCTCGATGATCTCGGATAGAGAAGCCATGGGTGAAGTTACGACGTGGGAATATCGGGAAGGCATCGTAAGTTTATGGAATTCAGGGCGTTGAGAAACAATCAATCGTAATATACTGGTGAGTATGAAAGATTTTTGCTCGATTGCTTTATAGTAGCTGTAGCAGAACCATTTGTATTAATTGTTTCAGGCTGCACGTTGAGCCTTGGAAGTATCCTAGTAGACATGGTAGGCTGTTCTGCCACATTGGCGTGGCGCAGCCCCCGAAATCAAAATTAGACAGCACTAAAGGATTGAATGATAGGTGCCTGAGGACGGATAGCATTGAGAGTTGACACTCTGAGGCATGGTAAAGAACTATCTCGGGGCTGTGTTTGCATCAAAAAGAGGGGTTATCAGCCCTCTTGTTTTTCAGCGGCTTTTGATAGGCTCCGAGTGACAGATCTACATGGGAACTTTTGTCATGTGCAGTGACACTAAATTAAGTACCCCGTACCGTCGTCGTTATTCGCTACTAATATAGTTTTACGGCTGCCTTCGGGAAGAGCATGGAAATGAGAGCCAATGGCTATTATCGCCTTCTCCACTATCTATAGCGCACATATTTTTTTTTATCTACGGTCCATTTTCGCTTCGGTTCCAGAAGATCTTTTTGGACTATTTCAAGTACATACGACCATCGTAGTCTCGAAAAGAGAATCAGCGTCTGTTGCGCGACGACTAATCCTCCTGGCTAACGCGGAGCATGATATAATCGCATGTTATACCCGTGGACATAGAAAAGTCTCGTGCACAAAGTATTCTTTTTTTACCGCCTTCACCTACAACCAAAGAGACCTATAAAAAGACCCGCTAGAAAGACATACCAAAAAGACACCACAAAGCCGCAAACGCGGGTGACTATTCTTGTTCGATTATAATTCGAGCCTGAAATATTTACGCTTAAAGAAATTGTTATCTTGCCGTACCTATCCCTATCTATATCCGTTGGTCCATCCCATGGATGGCTTTCCAGGGTATAAATACTCTGGCTTTGCTAGTTTGAATAAGTCATGATTTTTCTTCCTCTCTCTCCTTGCTTGTTGCAGTCCACGAATATCCTTATTTTGATACCTAGTCCGCCAAGAGAAGAATTAAAGCGCACTCCGATTCAGAGTGGGTTATTATGGGCGGAGTGATCGTAGAAACTAAGAGGTATGGGACAAAGACAGGATAAAATCTAGGATTATAGAGGCCTAGCAGAACAACGAGAGAATCATAATCAAGAAAGTGCGGCGCGGGGAACTTAGTAGATAGCCTAAATTTCACGACTTGAAGCAATGTGGGTTAACATCCCCAAAGGCGGTTATTCCATTACAAACCTCCATCTCTATAGTATAGTAAGATGGGGTAGAGGTAGTTTGAGTGCCTACAATTACTTAATAGATGGCTAGAATTCCGTCTGCAATGCTCAGTTAAAAGAAGGCTTAGTCCATGTTGCACGAATGTAAGCAAAAGAGGTTCAACGTGTGTTCCTCTTTTCCCTTGGAGTTCGAGCAGGTATTAGATTTTTGAACTAGGAGGGTATGTTTCTTCATCACTATCATCACTCCAATCGCCCTTGCCAGTCTCATGAAAGTCAGGATGATTTTCGTAATGATCCGGAGATTGCTTTGGTATATCGAGTTTGGGGAATGGATAGCGCGTTGTTGGGAAGGGCACATGTGCCTGGGACGGTCTGAAAAGTGTAAAGCTGTCTGTGTCGAGTGACTGATATGGCTGGTGCTGTCTGATAAATGTATGCCGCTCCATGTATGAATCTTGGTTTTCACGGTTATCCATGGGTAGATTCGATTCAATCAAGCGTGAAGGAGGGTTGTACTCTAGGATTGGATACGCAGGAAGATTGAAAAGATCTGAGTTGGACATATCCCAAGGTGGTTCTGGCGATTCCAAACCCCAAGGTTCAATCAAGCTTGGAGGAGGGTTGTGCTCTGGGGCTGGATATGCAGGAAGATTGATGGGAGCTGAGTTGGACATGTCCCAAGGTGGCTCTAGCGATCCAAAACCCCAAGGATTGCCAGGATAATTAGGTGCCGAAATGAGGCCAAGAGGTTCGGCCGATATCGAATTGTGTGAGAAATTACTTTCAGGTTCGTCCATATCGTCTGGAAAGAGGAATGCCAGCCGCCTAGCCTCGAGTCTTTCTGGTATCTGCGCCAGAATTTTCGTCCGCTGGTCTGATGGAGCTTGCTCACACTCTGCAATGACATTATCAAAAAAGTTCCAGACTTCCACAAACTTGTGAACACTTTCTACACCAGTTCCAATAGCCCGGAAGACGTCTTTCATATCCTGGTGCGGAAGGTCACCCGTAGCCCACTGAGGCCACTTCCCTTCACTAGACTCAGAATTGAAAAGGTGTCCACAGCTTAGAATCAATGCTGCTAAGCCAGTAGCAAAAGCTGTTGCCACCGACGGCCCAGATCTCTGGAAGAAAGACAAGTCTTTAATACCCAAGTCCGCGGAGTCCGTCTGCATGAGAAAATATCCGGGGAACAGAAAGTCGACGTTATCAAAGTATAACCCTGGTTGTGTTGTGCTAAAATCTTCAACAGCTCCAATTCTGAAACATTCCGAGTGGTGCGCAGATACAGCGTAGATACGGTTGTCCCATTCCCTCAAGTTCCTAGTAGAGGAAAATATGAGAATCCCCGCATCTAGGGCTTCATCCACCGCGTTATTGAGATCTGTTGCTTCTTTCTTCAACTCCGGGCGCTCAATTGCTTCAGGCAAACAAATGATTGAGGCCCGGTGGGAGGTTGCCCATCTCACTGCCCTGGATACGCTTTTTGCTGTGCAGAGAATAATTCCCCTGCTAGCACTGTAGTGCGAATCTAACCCGGCCAGGAGGAAACCTGCTTGTGGACACATCATAGATATTGCTTGGGTAATCCTTCCTCTGTTACTGAAGGTCATAGGTTTCAAAGAAGGATCGCGCGTTCTGAAATTTCTTTGGTGGAGGATTTTGTCTCCAAAAAATTGGACATCACTTCCCCAGTCATAATCATCGCCAAGGATGGCCACGCGGAAGTGCGCGAGATCCATAATGGAATTTCCGTTTTCCAGGGTATCGCTTAGGATGCGGGAAATTTTTATCATGCAATCGACCCACCTTGAAGACGGATCCATATCTTGTATGGCTATATGATTAGGATTGTACCATGACGAATCTGCCGGGCGTCTTTCTGGATTATTATCACGATCCCTCACAGAAGCAAGAGCCGTCATGTTCCGTATTACTGGATCAAAGGCAAGGGGATCTGGTTGGACAAAGTTCAAGATAGGTCCCCATTCAAATTTCCAGCGGTCATGTTCTGGAATCCCATCAAACTCTGATTCGTCAACAAAGAAGGTTGAATTATTCATATCGTAGTTCAATTGCGAATCTTGCCCTTGACTGCCCAAGATGGTAGTATCAATGCTCATTTGGTCGGAACCACCACGTTCTCCCTCTGAAGCTGGGATGCTTTTACCACGACTGGCGTCATCAGTATCTGATGGCTGATAGACATCATCATCATGCTCGTATGGAGGGAGAGATTTCACAGCAAGCAATCTCAAATGGCCAACAACATGAGCCACAAGGCTATCATAGTTGACATCTACCTTCCCACACAATGGGCATGAGTTAAATACGCGACTTATTTTCCGAGTGCTTCTGTCGGCGAGAATATCAAGTTGCGATCTAGTACATGAGCTTGGGTGTATCTCCTTTATGTGGGCGAGATAAGCATCTCTGGAGGTGAACCGCTGCACGCCGTGTGATTTAGAGTTGCATTGCCAGCGCAAATTATGTCCTCTCATGTGTTCAAGCCAATCATTGCTGTGGCTGAAAAGCTCTTCTGGGGTTTCACATTCCTCAAAAAGACAAACATATGGATCAAGGTCTTTCTTTACATGCGAACTAAAAAGCATGATCAGTGGCAATCAATGAATAGCGGGTTTGAGTTACCTACTGCCATTTTTCAATATTGGCCATCTCATTCGCTGGAAAGGCGTGGAAACAATAAGGACAGGTTACTTCCGGCATAGAGCGCAGAAGGTTCTCCCAATCCATAGCCACAGCCTTCTTGAGTTTTGCTTGGGCGCTTTTGATTTCCACCTGGTATGCCAATGAAGCCTCAATAGGTCGTGGTGTCCCCAAAGTATGCAGCCTCTCAGAAAGTTGCAACAGAAACCTCTTGTAATCTTCATTATACGAGGCCTGTATCTCTTTGTATCTTCTGTTTAAATTGCCGACCGGAGGAGGAGGGAACATTATTTCTTCATGTTGTTCCAAAAGAACGGTCTTACTTTCTGAAACAACCGATTGGACCGCTGTTCTTTTAAATTGACTCGGAGTTAGAGTCGTCGCACTCATCCTCGTCCGAGAAGGTGTAGTGGTTTCAACAACACTTTGCGCAAGGCCCTGGGATGGCTCAGACTGCTGCTCTCGGGATTCTCTTTTTGTGGGGCATAGACCTGCGGTTTCCCAATTGTCGGCGGATAATAATCTAGTTGAGGTTTAAGTTTGATTGGGGGTTTCCCGTATCGAGTACGTCGATATAGAATTCGTTTCCGACGAATCAAAATTGTAGCGGCAAGACGATCTCGCATCCCTGCTGTTATTCCAGGAAATTTGTCCTGGATGTATTTGGCAAACTGTGTTTGGAGGAACGGCTCGACATCGTTACCTTCATCATCTTGGATGTTGTATGACTCGGCCGCTTTTCGATTAGAAGACTCTCGACCAGCTTTCCGAACTGTATTAGACAGCTTGTTTAGAAGGTCTATCTCTTTACTAGCAGCTGCCAAAAACTTTTCAAGCCTTTCGGAAGTTGGAACGGGTTCATTGACTTTCTACCGCTTGCTCTTCCAGATCTCCTCAGCCGGGTACCCATCGCAGAGGAACGCATCTTTCTGGCAGTTGTGACAACTGGAACTCGTCAATGACACTGAACATACCAACACATGAATTTACCAAACATAATCACTCACATAGGCCTTGTTTCATCGCATTTTTTATTCCGGCGGCGACAGGCTCTGCATGGAGTTCTTGTACGTGTGCGAGAAAGTGGAACCATGGCAGGAGCAATCTGATTGTCTGTCGCATTTGACTGTTCACTTCATTGAAGGGTCAGTCGAAGGCGAGGTGATGAACATGCCATGCCTATCTCGTGAATCGGTCGATGCGCTAGCGCCGGTGCTGTTCGTAGATGTAGAACCTTGGACCAGAGAGTTGAAACAAGACAAACCTTGAGTATAATCAGTACACTTTGTCGTTGGAACAAATGGTGAGTACCTTACAACTTTGCAGGTGGTCATCTAGCGCTTCCAGTAAGCCTTTCACAACTTCCGCAACTTCTGGTGCCTCTCTAAGTCGATGATCTAGTGAAACGCGAGTAGGACCAAAGACTGCATTGTTTGAAGTCCAAATTGAGAACCTTGCATTTTGGTTCTCCAGGAGCGAGAACTCCCGCGGTGGGATGAATGTTGATAGTTGAGAGCATAGTTGGAAGCTATGAAAGCATTGTTGTGCGACCTCAATAATTCTCAAAGACGGTTCTGAGGCCATTTCTCCCGACAGTGTAGGGACTGGAAATATTTTATCTCCAAATTTGTGGGAGACAATACTATCCTCACAGTGGGAGAGGAACAGGAGATGCTCCTACAGCAGAACCCAATGCGGGGGTTTGGCCCCTGCTTTCGAAAACACGGTCGCCTCCAACAGAGCAACCTTTCCAACTGGATGAGATAGTAAGCAGTGGGAAGTTCAAGAAGTATTAAATCAATAAGACGATCTGCGATGAGGCAAAATGAAAATGGAAACACATTTGAGTTGGCTATGACCGAGCCATCTTGGAACCCTCAACCCTCAAGACCACGACCAATCACGAAACCCCTCAGCCTCAGCCTCGGCGTCAGCCTTAGCAGCATTTAGCCCTTTTGTGTTCCCCTCGAACAGAATCTCCTGCCAGAGACTCTTTCACGAGTCAAAGCCCGAACGATGAATCTGGCACCTTCCGATGCCTGGTCATATAACAGGATACCTTTGTCTCTGCTGCAGGAGACAGTTGAGACATTTCGAGAAGTAGCCGAGCTTCTAAAACGGTCGGAGACAACCCCCCGGGCGCATTTCTACACTCATCTATGGGCCCATTATATCCTCATTCGCGAGCATCTACATCGCATTGAATTTGTTGTTGAAGAGGACAACCCGCATGTGGTTCAAATTTTGAATATCCTAGAGACGAGGGTCCAGGCCGAAATACTCTCGCAGGGAACAGCTTTACGAAAATTTCCCGGTCGCAGATACAATCGACTACTGTTGCTAAGCAAGCTATGGCAAGAAATCAAGGCTCATAACACAGACGCGAAGTTTGAATTTGTCAAGAAATATATCGACCTACAACCAGATCGTGAAAGCTCCAACGAATTTGTCGAGTATTTGGAGGAGTGGGAAAACATTATTGTGGCGCAATATCCCGAGAATTCCTCGAATCAGTCCCGTCGTCAATCTGGATCTCGAAGACGAAAGAGAAGGAACCCCTCGGACGATGTATGGGATGCAGCTGAGTCTCTTTTCGATGCTCTTCTACGGTCAAAGGATTGTGGGTGTCGTCCCGTACATGACTTCGGTATGAGGCTCCGCGTCGGCACATATCGCAGACCACCGGGCATAAAAGACAATGCTTACTCAAATCGCGCATGTTTATATCAATGGAACAAGAATGGCATGAGGCTCATGTACGGATTGACGAGAAGCAAAGAGGGAAAATCATACAGTTTGCCACGGAACCAGAAATTCCAGGACCAAAAAGACAAAAAACCAGCAGATACATGAAAATAACGCAGTTGTGTCAGCCGATTCGCAAGAGCCGACCGTCTGAGCGCCGTCTTCAACTCAGAGTCGATGGTCAGGGCCGACTTCTTAAATTGGTATCTAACAAGTGTTGCTTTGCGGTCGATAAACCTCCCATCTCGCTCCAGGAATTTATGCTATTTCGATCTCGATCATTTACGGATAAAACAAAGCGAATATTGGCAGTCCTGCTCAGTTATCCCGTTCTGCATCTGTATGGCACTACGTGGCTTGCATCCCACTGGGATCCTTCAAACGTGTATTTCTTTACGACAACTACCGCAAAGATTCCTCTTCAACCTTTTATCCAAGCTTCCTTGGCTGCCAGATCTGATACTTCCTCTCTTTTAGCCAGCAGCCTGAATTGTGACACGGATGAACAAGATCCCGATGACATAGATCCCGATGATCTTCTGGTTCATCAGTGTCCAACTCTTGTTTCTTTAGGTGTTATGTTGCTGGAATTGTTCTTGGCAACACCTTTTGAAATCTTGGCCCAGCAATCTGGTGTGTATCCTGCTAATCGTATGAATTTCACCGATGCGGATACAGTGTTTCAGAACTACAAAGCCGAGATTCCTCGGAATTCTCAATTCTACTATGCAGTAGAGAAATGCCTTGACCCGAGTCAACCGATCCAAAGAGAGCAAGAGGAACCCTATTCCACAAATTCGCAACGTGAACATACTCACCAACCCTCACATTCCTATCCTAATGCCGATGATGCCGATGACAAAACATTGGAACTTTTTGGCGATGAAAATATTTCGGATATACATACTACTGAAGCGTTAGTACAAAGGAGCCCTATTTCCACCCCAAGAGATATCTCTGATTTGAGGCCAATCTCCTAACGTTTGATTGAAACGCAGATGCCGTAACTATGAAATTTGGGAATCAAGGTATAGGGCAGTTTATGAAAAATTCATCAAGAATCCTCCCGACAACCCCGTCAAGATTGCGATTCTTGATACTGGTGTTGATGAGACACATCCTGATATCGACGCATGTGGTGAGCAGATCAAGGGCAGGCACAACTGGACCGATGGACCCCCCGATAAACGGGTGAATGACAACACGGGACACGGTACCTTTGTTGCAGCTCTGCTGTTAAAATATGCAACAGATGCTGAGGTCTACATTGCTAAGGTTTGTGATACAAGGCAGTGCAGCCCTCGAACAATCGCAAAGGTGGGATCCTATAAAGTGCGAATGTGCAATCCTCCAGGAGCTGATTTGATTTTGGTATAGGCAATTGACTATGCGGTCAATGAATGGAAGGTCGATATTATCACCATGTCGTTTGGCTTTTCTACTAGAGAGATTGATGGATACAGTGAGCTGGAAAACGCAATTGACCGGGCACACTTCAAAAATGTGCTGTTACTTGCTGCCGCTTCAAATAGCGGTGCGAACAATGATCGAGCATACCCAGCCGGGGAAGAAAAGGTTATATGTGTTCACTCCACCGATTCCAACGGAAATCGGTCACATTTTAGCCCTACTGCCCGTGCAGATGCAATCAATATTGGAACAATTGGCGAGGCAGTCACCTCTGCCTGGCCTATGCATCTGAGCTCCAGTTTGACTCTGCCGGTAAAGCAAAAGTCCGGCACATCTTTTTCGACGGCTATAGCGGCAGGTATCATTGGATTTCTGCTACAGTATGTAAGGCTGTATATGCCAGGGCACGCAGAAAAGATGAAACGAAAGGCAAAGATGGAAGCTGTTCTCCGAAAAATCGCTCAGAAGACCGCATCTTCTAGACCAAGAGATGACTACCACTACTTCTCCTTGAGCCAACACCCAAGTAATCTCTTTGGGAAACAACAATATTTTGTTAATGACACTCTTCGTGATATACTTGACCATGCTTAGAAGATACCCAATCGCGATTTTTCTTTCCGCCTTCAATACCACTAAGATTTCTTACCAGTTTCTCAAGTAAATCAATTCATGGTTTCCCAATTTGTATGCCTAGTCTTGGATGCTGAACCTCCGTGATGCACTATATGGGGCAGTGCCCAAATTTCCCGCCTGAACTACGACCACAATTCGTACTGGAGGCTTTAGAATCAATCACTTTCTGACCAATTAATCACAAAAATGTGGGGTATTTGTGGCTGTGTTGAAATCACCCCTCTTATAAGCGACAGATTCTCAAATACTTCCTTGCTTCTCCATGTTCAACCTGCTCTGATGGCAAACCGCAAACAATACTTCTTCTACGCCCCGAGCTGGGACTACCCACCACCACCCGCTGGTCCTATTAGACTAGGAAATGTCATAACATCCCTAACGAGCCCCGAAAGGCCCTTACATACCGCTGTGCCAACCGAATCGGAAGTCTTCTCGGTGAGAAAATCAAGCGTTGAGACTTCTATACTAAAGGCGCGATGCTAGAAGCTGATTCTCAGAGGATATCAGATGATGTGGTTGATATATCTGAGGATGAGCTGTTCGAATTAGAAGATCAAGACTGGGAGATGATAAGTGTGTTGGAAGGGGAGGAGACTATTGATCTAGCCATTCCCAAGTTAAGACAGCATTAGTTCTTATATCAGAGCATGGAAAATCCAGTTCACGACAGTTAGTCAAAGCCTTTTCGCTCCAAAGCTCGTTGGCACAAACATGTCGAACTCAGGATTTGGCCGCCTCTTTCCAATCAATCCATCGTCACTCTTCTCATATTCATTGTAAGATATATGCAGGCGAGAGTGGCTTGACAAAGTGGCTTTAATATAGCCCTCGGACCGCATGGTATATTTTCTACTTGTCACAATATCCTAACTCGGAGTGCAAATATCATTATATATGTTACATGATGTCAAATAGAAAGAAATAGCCTCGTTGCAATGGTCCAAAAGTAAAGTTACTTAAAGGACTTCTTACATGGTCAAAGTTCCTATTCGTGCCATCGATATTTTAATCTAAATATCTACTTTGGAAGCAGTACAAAGGAGAAATGAACCAACAATTCTTTTGATATTTATTTAACCTTTCTGCAAATTTTTATGTCGCTCTCCCTCTATCTAACAGCTTCTTGAAGAAAGTTATGATCATCCATTCTAGATTGGTTTATTCGGAATGTGGGCAAATTCTAGCCAGCACGCAAGTGGGGCGGGCATCAGTAGCTAGTTGAGTGAGCAATGTCCTTCGCTTTCAGTAAGTTGCCCTGCAGGTTCTCGATTTTGGTTTGGAACCGTTTATAGCAATCCGAGCCAAGTGGCAAGCGAAACAGGTCTCCTTTCCCAGCACCCATGCCGGTATTATCTACGACTTCCAGAACTCTCTGGGCACATTTAACAGCATCCCCGGGCTGAGCTCCTGTATTTGACTTGAATACCTGGAGAACATGTTCCAATGGGGTCCCAGTATAGTCTTGGTTCATGCCAGCGCTAGGCTCGACATAGGCTGACCAAAAGTTGGTCCGGAGTGATCCCGGCTCGACAACAAGCACCCGAATATTGAATGGTGCTAGCTCTCTCGAGAGGCTTTCAGACATACCTGCTCATTTTGGGTTAGCATGCCTATCCTCTAGATAGATACCTATCTTAGGATAGGAAGCTTTTGTAGAGCAACGTAAACTCACCTTCAAGAGCAAACTTCGTCCCGGCATACATCGCGCATGCGGGTAGTGCATCAACCCCGGCACTGCTACTAATATTAACAACAGTGCCAGACTTCCTCGCCCGCATAAAAGGAAGAACACCCTTCAACACACGAACAGGACCGTAAACATTTGTGTTGAATTGAGCCTCAATTTCAGCTTCGCTCATATCTTCGATACTGCCTAGCAACGAATACCCGGCATTATTAATAACCACGTCGACAACACCACCATACTCATTGACTGCATCTTCCACGACTTTCATGGTGCCAGAGCTCGTCACATCAAGTTCCATCCAGATCCCGCCGAGGTTTGAGATCTGGGGATTGGCTTCGGCTGCTTTAGTGGGGTTGCGGGCGGTGGCGATCACTTTATGACCGGCTTGGAGAGCTGCCTCTGCGATTGCGGCTCCGAGACCAGAAGAAGCACCAGTGACAAGCCAGGTTTTGGATGCCATCTCAAGTATAGTGAGCTCGATTGGAGTGGCGTTGCTGAAATGTAGTGTGTGGGAATTCAGTATAACTGACCGTTTGGGATGCAAAGGGGGCGTTGGTCGAAACTTAAGGCTAAATATCGCTGCTATTCGGAGGTAAGCGGAGCGGAGTTTGGCTACTAATACCGCTAAAGCCGGTAGTATGCTAACAAAGAAGTAGACAGAAAAAGCGTGGGTGTATCTAGAAGCCCGCATCATCTGCGTCTTCATCCTACTTTCTTTTGATATTCTATATATTCGGAAGGAAAAGGAAACAGGAAGGACCGTTCGCTAGATCATTTCCAACACACTTGAACGTTTGTGGTATTTAGTGATAACTACTGGGCATGTGGTACTTTAAAATGATTCATTGAGTGCTGATCTGGTAGGGTCTGGTTACGGAGTAACACAATAAGGACTAGGGCTTTACTACACCACCTAGGTCATATTTTGTATCATACCTCGTCTCAAAATCTGGCCAGATAGCTAGCTAACTGGGCTATTGCCCCTTCCATTTGAATTTGCAGAAAATTTGAGCAGCCGTAAGGCGCAGCAGTATAGCACGCATCAGTAGCTCGCTCCTTCAGAGGGTCACGCGTTTCAATCTGATTTGAACTTTTTGTTTTCATTGTCGAAGGGAGCTAAAGAGGCTTCGTCTAAATAAAGCTCACGGCCGAAGGGATTCTCAACACATTTGCGAAGATCGGAGAGGCTAATACCTTCAGGGAGCTCGTGAGCCTGGATCGACATGACACCACCGAGGCTGTTGCGCCCATCGGTGGCAGCGGAATCGTGAACAGTAACAGAGAAGGCTATGGTGGCACAGGTGGCCAACAATATGATGCACTTGGTCATTCGCATCTTGAAGATCTATCATTCCAGTCAGTATCTCAGTTCAACTTGTCACAAAAGAAAACTCTTTATACATGCGAACCAATTCTAGGGAGGAAAGGTGTTATTTAAGAATGTCGTGAAACAAGTGGTTGATATATAGAATATTTATTTCAACAATGACAGAAGCCTCCTTCTTATATGCTTTACTCTCTCGGCTCTGTCGAGCCCTTAGCTAACCCGAGACCCTTGTGTGCGCGATTTTCTTCGCAAGGCCACATTACACCTTTCATTGGCCTATATATATGTCCCTGGGATATTGAGACAGCTGCTTTGAGGGCTAATGCCGAATGAGCGGGAGCAATAATATAATCTCTATAGGTGTCCTTTATATATGGGCCATGGAAAAAGCTTTGCCAATGCTGTATCAGCAAAGTCGGGTCCGATTGGCTTCATCCCCAAGACCCTTTTCTTGGCAAAGACATCCAATTGGCCATGGCTTATCTTAAATCGGAAATGGTTCATGTTTAGCTGCGGGCCGGAGATTCCTAGGTCTAGGCTCAAGGCTTAGGCAACGACTATTTCGCAGGTTACACATAGAAAGGTCCCTTGTACAAAGTATGGTTTTTAAACCGCCTTTCTATACATTTGAACAGACCAGCTACAGCGCCATCTAGAAGGCCATTTTGAACCGAGCCATCCTGATTAAGTCGATATTATATAAAATGGCTCTCACTTTCGTGTTCCAAAATTCAGGAGTTTGCCGATAACATATACCCTTTGGTGGGATATCGTAACAGTGGTCCAGGGCAACTCTTATGCCAATTATATTGACTGACTACCAGCTACGCTCAGCCCATGTCTCTTTTTCCAATTTTGAGGATTTTTAATATAATCTTCTTCTACACATAAGCTGATACATACGACCATAGGGTGTGGAAAACAGGGCTTCCCGTCCGCTCAGCCGTACTTAAGCCACACGCCGGTGAGTTAGTAGTTGGGTGGGTGACCACCAGCGAATCCTCACTGTTGTATGTTTTTTTGGCTTTTTGGGGTGTTGAAACATTCATCCTATCTTATTATTAACTAGTGGTAGGACAGCAAAACTAGAAAAGATACAATTTTGTTATTTACTCTTCCTTGCCATTGCTATGATCGTCTCAACAATTTATTTCAAAGATATTATCAAAAGCTGCGAGTGTAATTTCAGTGTTCTAATTTAAGAGAAATGATTTGGATGGGAACTAAAGGCCATGAAGCCAGTTCCTTCAGCACATCCAACATATTCACAATCCATCTCACAAGATTTCAAAACAGTCGTTTCTACCCTGAGCGAAATCTTACCGCTCACCATCTCTCCTTCGGGGCCATATGCCTCAAGGAACTGCTTCCGCAAATCAACATGGCCTTTATTTTGCCGTCCAATCTGCTCCATTTCGCGTAGATCTTGGAAGTAGAACAACTGTACTTTCTTGTTATAGCTCAGCGCCTTGGGCTCTCCCTCGCGGAATAAGCCACTCTCAGGATCATAACATATCCGTCCATCAAGAATCCCTGACTCAGGTCCTGCCTCCATGAGATCTTTCATCCAATGAGTGACCGAGTCATCAAAATTCCCCACCCAGTATTGTTGTTCTTCTGCTGTAATGGCGGAATGGTCTTGCCCTTCGACAACGAAACAGATGTTGTCTGGAAACTGCGTCAGATGAACCCGAGCAGGGCGAGTATCAAGACCCGATCTCTCCGCTGACGAACTGCATAAAGGTCGATGAGGCTCCAATTTCTCTTTCACCGGAGACACCATTTTATCAGAAGTGTGATCAGACATTCGATGGCGGTAGCATCCCCAATAGGCTGCCTTGTGGCCAATATCAAATCTTTCGCCCAAGTGTCCGAGGCCGGAGGGCTCTGTCTGGTTGGCTCCATATTGACTTCGTCGAGGGGATGGTGTCAGGACTTCTCTCCACATTCCCGCGTCAATAGGAAGATCTGCCCAGAATTGAGACACATTGTCTCGAGCCCACCACCTCTGGTAGTCCGTGCTGGACTTCCAGTACGCGAGCCAGATGTGCGACTTCCCAGTGAATGGCGTGGCGCAGCCGTCTTGCGCCAGTCTCTCAATATGTACCGCATGGCCGGAAATAAGACCGTCAAACTCCTCTGTAAGATCTTTCTGGGATTTTGTGGGATTTCCGGTTGGATACTGGATTCCGAAAATTGAATAAACGAAAGGCTTGTCGGCCAGTTTCACACTCCACATTGTGCTTTATCTTTCTTGGTGCAGATTTGAGTAAGAAGAGGGCTACCAGTGGAGGAGATAAATGATTTTTCTGGGTCACTAACAGCAACTTTATAACTCAAGCTACAAGTCATGACTTCTACGCAACTGCAGACCACACTGGGACCCACCTGTCGGACTTCATTGCAACCGCAAATGCAACCCGCGAGAGTAAATGAGTTCCGATACCTTGTAGCTGATATGATTGTCAAATAATTTTACTAGAAATCCCAGATAGCAATCGGATCAGCGATTACCCCGGTGTTTGCGGCGATAGTTCCGCCCGCAGATGTGCCTATCTTTTGTATCTACCGAGACCTCTCCTATCAGTGACCAATTGGAATACTATCGATTGTTGAATTGAAAATTGCGGAATGGTGGCTCCGAGATAAACAGGCCATTTTGGGTTGCGGAGGTTTTACCGCCGCAGCTCTTATCACAAATGCGGGGAAGACTATGATCTATACTCAAAACATAAATATGGCATCCAAACTCTTATTTGCTTTCGTTGAACTCAGCATAATAACCTTTAATTGATTCCATCACATCTTCGTGTCTTCCACAATGTCTTCGGGCCCCGTTCGTGTCGCTGTCACCCAAGCCGAGCCGGCATGGCTGGACTTGACCGCTGGTGTCACTAAAACCTGCGAATTAATCGCAGAAGCGGCGCAGAATAAGGCACAGCTCATCGCTTTTCCTGAATGCTGGATTCCTGGTTATCCATGCTGGATCTGGTATGTCTGGCGCAAATATCCTTTTAGAAGCATACTAAGGTTTACAAGGAGCCGTTTGCTTGACGTTGAAATGAACGTCGCATATATCAAGAACTCACTTCGTCTCGACTCTCCGGAGATGATGCAAATCCAGTCATGTGCAAAGACTCACGCAATCGCTGTCTCGTTGGGATTTTCAGAAAACGACAACAACTCCATCTACATTGCCCAAGTGTGCATTGGGCCTGATGGAGAGATCAAATCTCACCGCCGTAAAATGAAGCCCACTCATATGGAGCGTACTATCTTTGGTGATGCGTCTGGAGAATGTTTCTCTAGCGTTGCGGAGCTTCCGTTTGGTCGAGTTGGACACTTGTCTTGCTGGGAACATATCCAGCCGCTGCTAAAGTATTTCACATTCTCTCAGAAGGAAGATATTCATGTCTCCGCATGGCCTAGTCTTACACCTCATTCTGGGAAGAGTGATCTCTGGTCCATGTCCGCTGAAGGTACGTCAGATCGTGTTTCATAGGTGATTTTCGAGATATTAATTTATAATTAGGCTGCCACAGTCTTTCCCAGACTTATGCGGTAGAGTCACAGGCTTTTGTCTTGCATTGCACGGCTTTGATTACCGAAAAGGGTGTGGAAGAAATGGGCACAGGTAGTGGTGCTTTGATGTCTTCTCCTGGGGGTGGTAGCTCTGCAGTCTTTGGGCCCGATGGAAGACGGCTGACAGAGCCAGTTGATAGTACGACGGAGACTATCATCTTCGCAGATTTGGACATGGACCAGATAATTGCTACTAAATTGTTCGCCGATGCCACCGGGCATTATAGTCGCCCTGATCTCATGACACTCAATGTCACGAAAAAGGTCAAGAAGATGGTTCAATCTGATGGCGAGCCTGTGATTGTAAAAGCTATGGAGGAGGCTTAAGAGAAATTATTTGTTCCTTTTTTAATATGTACCTGATTGTGTGGGTTGCACATTTGTGCACAGAATAACATTATATTAGAAAGCATAGTTTCATATTATTAGAGGCTAGTTGATGAAACTCATACTAGGTAACAAATTTGTATCGTGAGATACAGCATAATGATTTACGAGAATAATTTCATTCAATAATGTTGGAAGACAATGGCTTATCATGACACTCGTAGACCCGCGAAGAAAGGTTCGGAGATCCATGGATGGCCCGTGGGACCCACTTTATAAGATCTCCGGCGAATCACATGATACCTAGGCAATCGCAACTCCCTAGACGTCTTCCCTAGTCAGTCTTCTTGTTAGGAACCGAGAAACATCAAAAGCCAAACTTCTTTTTTGGACATGATATGTAATTGAGCAATGTCAAGCCAGCCTGGAAAGCCAGTTCTTTTTGCATGCCGTCAATGTCGGGCCTCAAAACGCCGAGTACGTCATGCCCCAGGAGACGTGGGGCTGATCGCTGATACATTTGACAGTGCGATGGTGTCAAACCACAATGCTCATATTGTCAACGAACGGCGAAAGAATGTGAATATGCGGACGAGAAAAAAGTTAGAAAGTATCAGCCCACCCTTCACTGCAGCGAAACTCATGGGGTTAACACGATGGACAGACGAAAGTATTGGGATGAGAACTATGTTAAGTCCCTCGAGAACCAAGTTCAGGCTTTGCTAGCTCTTCAAAACAGCAGTACCATCAATACAATACCGCATATTGTACCAAGACGATCCGCCAGTACCATCTTAGACTCGTCTCTTCACCTAGCTCCGCTGGGGAAGTCACACCAATATGAACATTGCGCTCCTTTGAATTATGTGGCTGACGATGAAACTTCTCATCAGTCTCAAACTGCCATGGAGGAATTGAGCGTCATGATGTGGAGAACGAATCTTGCAGATGCTGTGGCCCCTGAGGAGAAACAATCAACCAAAAACCCTCCAACAAGGGGGAACATTCTTCAACCCGAGGCCCCACCTCAAGTACCGCCTCAAATTCTGAACATATGCGGGAAAGTCACTCGTATTTATGAGGTCGCTGCTCTGTTCCTCAAATGCATCAACGAAGACCATCAATTCACGCAGTATGAAAGTTCGGACTTTTTCCTCCAGTTTCCCAACCAATCTCCGGATCGCCTCTTCCTTCATACAGCTATGTTAGCGGCTGGAGCAACATTTGAAAACAAGAAAGACTCCCTCAAGATTAGCGACGAACTTGCAGAATTAAGTGAAGCCCTCGTCTTCAAATGTTTTCGCCAGTCCCCGTCAATATACGTTATTCAAGGTCTGATTATCTTATCATGGCGTTCCCTCGCCTTGGGCTGTGATCACTTTGGCTGGACATTCCTCTCTATGGCTGCAGGAATGGCTGTTCACTTGCGGCTTCACGTATTGGCACTTGATGAATTTGACACTATCTCGAATACTGGTACCGGACTTGCAGATGTGCAGACCTTTTGGTCATTCTACATGACCGATAGAACTTCTATCTCAATCCTAGGAAGAAACTGCATGCTACCTTGGCGACGTGTGAATGTTCCCGCAATTGAAACTTTCTTCCCTAACGAGGGGACAAGTCTGGCACAGGTATCTTTTACGTGGCAATGCAAGCTATGGTACATGCATGATCAAAACATGGATAAAATGTACACATCAACCCCCAACTCATAATCCACTGGCAAATGCACTCACTAACAATCCCCAGCTTTTCTTCTACCTTCGAAACACTTACCACAACCGAGCAAGTCAGCCTATTGATAGCAACACATGAAAATCTCAGCCATTTTTTCAAGTCACGAGATCAACGACTCGCAATAAAGCGAGGCGCAACTGAAAAACCTGTGCTTCTCTTCCATATGGCATACCGAATGGCGATTCTAGTAACAATGCCACCGTTTCTCCGATTATTCTCAAAGATGCGAAACGAGAATCCAAATACGTCGCAACTAATGCCCGTCGTGTTACAATCTCTCACGGCGGCAGCAACAGCGATGGTCAGACTTGTCTCAGATTATTACAAAATCTACGGCTTTCAAAAATCCAATCCGCTCCTCATTCACCATCTATTGAGTGCGTGTATTGTCCATTTGATGAATACAACTACCAAATCATTCACCCTACGGCGATTTAGTACACGTTCAGTTCGCAAGTGTCTCGCTCTTCTCGCTGGAATAAAAATCTTTTGGCCCTCTCGCTCGCAGAAGAGTGTTGATTTGATAAAGGTCCTAGCCCGAAGATGGGATGTTGAATTTGCCTTGCCGGAGGATACCAACTTAATTCTCGAGATGGGATTCACTAGCGATTTTGATCCTCCGGGCAAAAGGCAGTCTCATCAAGATTTTCCAGAAAAAGGCACTGGATCAAATGTGTCTCTTTATGACACTTCAGAAAATACAATGGGCCCATTTGACTCTCTTTTCGAGGAAGAGAATGATCGCGCATTAAAAGACCTCTTATACGGCGAAGACGGCCAAAATGTCTTTCCTATGAACAATTCGCTTCTCGATCATGGATGTCCGGATATGTTTCCGATGTTTCAAGATTTTGGGCACTTTGGGGACAATCTTGTTGATTTGCCATAATTGATCCCCAGGTATCTTTAGCCAGCACTCGCATGTATATGTTGGACAAAACCTAATTCTGGGTCAAAAATTTCATAAAATGGACTTCAAACCCTAGAACATATTGAGCTATATATTAACCTGCGATACGACAAGGCACACTTTTTGATGCAAACACAACATCTTCGACTTGTACCTTTTCAGTTTGTCTGTAAAGACACAGCTCAAAAAGGCTGCCTTCCACTAACAGCTCAAATCCTCACTTTTGCATGTTGCTAGAGAGACCAACTATGGAATCGGACCAATATTGGGAAGGGATCGCTAAGAGCCGTTAGAAAGCGCACTTGAAATGATCTCTTACACAGAGCACCTTCCATTGGACAGTAGTACTGCTTTCTCAGAGTAGTATTGATTTGTTTTGCAGGAATCTCGTTATCCCCCCAGTAGTTATACAATCCACTCTAGAATTTCATCCCATTTGTTGGAGCTTGTGCTAGTGCCAATCTAGCAGACTATAAGGATGATGAATTGAAACTATTATAGCATATCTGGCCCCCTAATAACCCTATTTGACCTAGAGGGCAAATTCTGCTCTCCCTTCACTTCGACTGAATGGTTTTCATCGAACTACTATTTGAAACTGAGATAAATAAAACCTAAATAATTTCACATGTTCTTATCCTGGAGACAGCCCGGCTTTTTAGCACCTACCTCATATATGTTATTTAGGTGTATCTTTATAAATATGCTCTAGATACCGAAGTATTTACTACACAAAGTGTGGAATTTACATCGATATCTATATGCATGAGTCCTTGTCATAGAATTTATAATCCACGAGCTAATTATTATTCAAAGTCCAGAGAATATTAAACACACAATACGGGTACTGTCAAAGGTCAAATCTCACGAACGTACGGTAGACTATGAGTTTCAAAGCACTAAAAGGACTAGTCGCATAGTGCTTCTAGTTGTAGTTACGTGCAGATGTCAAGATACTGAGCGTTTTAGGGGAAACAGTACGATCTAATAACATTCTGCCGTGGTTTGGCCAAAGGGGTCAATATAGTGATCGCGCGACTCGGGTGATTCTCGCCCTACCCTCATCACCCTATAACCACCCAACCAACCACTTCAATACTTTTACTCTATAACTATATATTTATCTTCTACACGTAAACTGATACATACGACCATAGGGTGTGGAAAACAGGGCTTCCCGTCCGCTCAGCCGTACTTAAGCCACACGCCGGTGAGTTAGTAGTTGGGTGGGTGACCACCAGCGAATCCTCACTGTTGTATGTTTTTGTTTTTTTGTCCTTGTGGATGGCAGGCAGTGGTCGAGTTGATTGTCATGTGTGTGTATCGTGGCGGATGAAACTGATTGTTGGTCAGAAATGTATTTTTCTAGTGTTGGATGTCCGGGTGAAGCATCATTATAAACCTGTCCGTTAGTGACTTAAGCTTGGATCTAAGAAGCCTGCGCCTATGTGCTCTTGCTCCATATGAAACTGATATGAAAGAAGATGTAAGATATTGTGAACAATCGCATCCATTGCAAGTGTCGACAAGTGGTAATGTATTTCCAGCCAGGTACCCGTATGTTCGAAACAAGTATTCCGTACTCCGTATAGCTTAAACACAGCATTTAGGTTCTCACCGGAGCTCAACGCCCCGGTAGTCACCCGTGAACATATCCCAGGGTTCCACAGGTATCGTTCCACTGGTTCTCTGGGTGGTACGTTAGTCTGAAACCACGTGGAAATCAACTTTCGGCCGAACCGGCAATATCTCGGAACCGACCGGCCCCGGCAGTTCAAGTGCCATGACCCTAGGCACATCTACGGAGGACGGAGTAGATATTTACATAACGATCGGCAGAGGTCTTAGCTCGTCTGAAACAATTTCTCCTAAAACTCAGTGCTTTGCCGAAATCTCGTTGCAACTTGGCATCCTTTTTGTTCCCAATACCTCTCCCAGGAATATCTCCGGAGCATTCTACAACACTACTTACTCACCCTTTGAGGCAGCATGAGCGAAACACCGCTTAAGGGGCTGGCTACTGAGCCTCTCAAGGCAGACTATATACCTAGCCTTCAACAGGCAACACCGCAAGTTCTGTGGATTGGATGCTGTGATAGTAATGCCAAAGAATGCACTGTGCTTAATATTCTTGACGACGAGTTGTTCGTGCTCAGAAACCTCGGAAATATGATCATTAATGGTGACCTTTCCTGCGAGACTACCATAAAACACGCCGTTATTGACCTTCAGGTTGGCCTTGGTCCTAAATATATTGCTGGTTTGTTCTGTCTTACGTTATTCAGGTGAAACACATCGTTGTTTGCGGACATTACGGATGTCGAATTGTCAAAGCATTTTCGAGAGATGGGTTGAATGGTCCATGGTTGAGGTAAGTCCCTCTATGCAACGTTCCCGTGGGGTTACTAATAGTGGTTATATAGCAAGCTCAATGATCTTTATTCAGCGCACGAAGAAGATATTAATCAACTTTCAGTGTCGGAGCAAGATCGCTATTTTGTTGAGTTGAATATTCTTGATCAGATGCGTTCGCTACGCAAATTTCCCGAAGTCACCGATGCAATTACGCTAGGGCGCTTACATATCCATGGGATTGTGTATGATTTGGAGACCGAAAAGGCCTATCGATTATTGAAAGGGCAGCAGAAGTACTAGGACAGGTGTCAAGCCAGTCTTTCTCTCTTCCTCTCATGATGAATCGCTCGATTTATTCCATAGCTTTCTTTCTCATTTCCCTTCTCTGCAACAGGATGGAGATTCTTTAATTTCGCATGGTGTTATTACTACGTGATGCGCATGGTATCTATAGCATGCAAAGAGAAAGAAACAAGAAGCAGAACTGATCGATAAAAAAGGAAAACCCGACCATGACAGAGACCACTCACTGCCATGAAGCCATACAGACGGCTTCATGGAGATGGGGGAAACAGCCCAAAAGACAAGTCAGAGAGATACATGCTGATCAATGACAAACCGAACCCTTGAGTCGCGACCGGCAGTTGAGGACCATGATTGTGATCACTCAATGTTCCGAACTGGAACCCGGGGACAGACAGTATATTTTCTGCACATCCGCCAACTCAGCTTCGAAATCGACCTTGAGGTCTTTCAGCAGACCGTCGCCGAGATCGAAAACCCATCCATGAACGATAGGGTACTGATTCTCTTGGTAGCTTTGCTGGACAGCCGCGGTCTTGATGATGTTCCTACAGGATTCCATCACATTGAGTTCAATCAAACGATTGTATCTCGCGTGCTCCTCGGGGATTCCGTCGAGTTCCTTCTCGTGCAAGCGATAAACGTCGCGGATGTTTCGGAGCCATGGGTTAAGCAAACCCAAGTCAGCAGGTGTCAAGGCCGCCTTAACCCCTCCACAGTTGTAGTGGCCGCACACGATGATGTGCTTGACCTTCAAGTGCCGCACAGCATAGTTGATCACGGACATGACGTTGAGGTCGACATTGGGCACCAGATTGGCGATATTACGGTGAACGAAGACCTCGCCAGCCTCCAGGCCCATAATCTCGTTGGCGGGGACACGGCTATCGCTACATCCGATGTACCTGATTGCCGTTAGACGCGCTCCGATACGAAAATTTTGACGAGAACGAAGCCATATCGGCTATGTTTCTTACAGGTAGTCTGGTGATTGTCCAGCAGAAAGCTTGTCGAAGAAGGTGGCGTCTGTTTCTTTCTTCGATGAGACCCATTTCTTGTTGTTCTGGAAGATGTGGTCAAGCGACTGCTTGAGATAGCGATTGATATTGGGTTTGGTGGCCATTTTGTTAGGAGTTGCAAAGGCTTGCGAAATGTGAATAGCGATTTTGAGGTTCTGGTCGTCTCACACGGGGCAGTAAGCAGATATTCCGAATTCGTTGAAACCTGTCGACCTCGGAGGGGTTGTGCTTATATAAGCGCCCGCCAAGACATCTGCAGATCAATTTAAAGGTCTGCAGCTCTAATGACGGACATTTCCACCAAAATAATTATTTACTGCCATCTCAATTTATCATTTGAATCCCAAACATAATTTTTAAATTCATTTTGAAGGGATCTTTCTACAAGCCTAAAGCAAACAATGTCCAATAGTACCAACTGCGTGGTGTATCTAAAAATGATGTCTGCACAACTCTTTGTGTGATACTACTACTATTACCCTCATAATGTCAATTTACATCAGCCTCGTGTACCCTGACATCCTCAAACAGTAAATTTTACCGGCTGCTCGTAGGTCTCCAGTTTCAGTGGCTAATACCCCTCGCCAAGCATTCCTCCATTGAACATCCCCACAGCCAACACATTACACCGGCACCGCCGCTGAAAACCGCTGCCGTCGCCGACAGAGGAAATCTGCAGAATTTTGGCCAGGTAGTGACTAGACCACGGTACGCGGAAACCCGTGGACCCTTGAGCAGCTTACCTGGGCTCGCGAGGCTAAGGATACTCTTGCCATCCTGCATAGAGGCTAGTTGGGTGATGTCTGGTAGATGGCCCGGCAGACATGCCGTCCAAGGGATACCGTCCATCTGCGCGTGGAAGAGGGACGCTTTGGATGTGTCACCAAAGTGTAGGCCAGCAAAAAGCCACCCGTCGGGAGACCACGCCAGCGATCCCTAGATCTGGACGGTGGACAGGTAGCGTATAGTTCCACAATATCGACCCTGGGCGTGGAATCGAGGCCCTTGTTCGCACCGACAAGTGGATTGTGGCAGATAGCTGTCCCACAAGTGCTTTCGTGCTTGAATTGGGGATCTGTTGCTGATTATTTGGCTTTCCTTCAACTTCGGCCCATCGAGAATCGGGGTGCTGTGAACAGGAAGGCTCACATGGCAGCGAGTTTGAAGAGGGAGCAGCGGCTGCGGGTCTCAGGATGAACACGAACAATTGAATATTTACGATAGAATGACATTTAGGACATGGTTGCTCAATTTTTATGATTAAGTGTTGCTTTCTATTGGTGATGTTGAATTCCGACTGAAGCGGAACGACAGTTAAACGAACATAGAGATATGAAATCAGTCGTGGAAAGTTTTGGAAACTTTCCAGTATTGAAAGGAGCGATGATAATATGGTGAGCGGTATGGCAGACTTTTTTTTCTAAACGAAACAAGACTCAGTTGCTCCAGCCAGGACAGGTAGTATAATCGGATTGATCAGCCTAAAGCTGCTAGCAATCCGAAAATACCACCCGCAAGTGGGAAAAGCGAGCGAACGGTATTGAGACTTGCCCATTTGTTGATCAGCGAAGTCAATCGCGCTCCATCCCGTGGTGTGTTTTCCGACGAGTCTTTCATATTTGCAAACTCGAATATCTTGTTGTTCGTTTGTAGCATGAAAAGAATGGTCCATGGAACGATAGAAATGTTGAGAATTGCAGCCCCCCAGTACAACGAGCAATGCGACTTCAAAGCCAACCAAATAAAGCCCCCTGCTCCTAGTATGGCGAAAGGCGGGCCCAATGAATGCCCCTTATGGTAGAATGCGGCCCATTGTTTTGCTGCCAAATGCGGGGAGGTTGGAATGGCCGTTAAGACTGCGGGCACTGCACCCCAAGAGTAGGTAAATATTTCACCTGTTTTATTGACATGCTTAGTATCCCGCGCTTTCCTTGTTCAAGATAGATAGACAAATACCTGACAGCCAAAAGGAGGACGAGATTGCAACAATTTGTGTTAGAGCGTAAGAGTTCATGTTGACGGTACAAGAGCTTCTCTTCCAATTTCTCACAAAATGTTTAATTGGAATCGCTTCAGACTTTATATGGTGAGAGAAAAACCCAGAAGCTCGAATTGAAACTCATTGCAACAGAAACCGACAATACCGAATCCACATTTCTCGCCATTCCAGATATCGGGTTTAGGAGTTGTATCAAGTCTATTTCGGTCGCGCCAAAGCCCGCCAAAACCCGGTGATGCGACGTCCGCGGGTATTGTAGCGGGACATTATATAAGCCCCAGCCCAGGCCGCCTGCCAAACCGGCAGTGGACCACCTGCCTAAATGGGTAGGTGATGGAATACAATTTACGCATCGTGCAAGAGTTGACTTGATGCGTGCCATATATCCTCAAGAGAAATAACAGGGCTTTCGGAGCAATCAGTATACAAGACCGGCCCGGTGCTACTTCTCATAGTTGTGACTGCACTGGAGTTGGGCAATGAAAATTATATTTCCGATGAACAACGTCAAACCTAAGCAGACGAGATTCAGGGTGTTATCGAATTCGAGCTGTCCAAATACTGGCAGCGAGACCATGGGATTAAACTTGTTGAATCGACCTTTCCAAGCTCGATAACGTTACTCAAGGAGTTAGCGCCGCGGAGATAGGAGCTTAGCTATATAGGAATCTTGAGTATACTTTTGTCTGTGATGTCGGAGAGGCTGATGAGGATGACCCTAAGGGAGTTTCTACTGAGCTCCTTGAGTTCGTTTTATAGCTTGTGTTGCCTTGACCAATGAATTCTGACGCTGGATGTCTAGGGGCTTCGCTTACTTTAGTCACATCAACCCTATATATAGATCATCTATCAACGTAGCTAGTTGAAGGTCCTTACGCTAAAGCAAAGGAATGATAAATTTAAAAAAAATAAAACATACAACAGCATGTGTATGACCGTGGTCACCTAGCGCCCACGGTTCGGGCGTGGGCGGCTCGCCGCTCTATTCAGGGCACTCAGGGCAGATATTCACCCACCTGAATATTTTTCACCCGAATATTCAGCCCGCGCAGCAAAAGGTACATTTCTCATCATGACCAAAATNGTGTGATAAATAGACACAAGATGAACTATCTTGATGTCGTGAAAAGGGGCTATTAAGAGGCTAGGAAGTCGGAGGGCGATTAGCCGCATCAGGATATAACATCATGAGGATATGGAGAAGACAGACCAAGTAAATAAGTGTAAAACACCACATTGAACGAGAGACGACAGATAATTAGGGACCATCGGAAGTAATATATATAAATTTCATAGGAACCATCAAAACTTCTAAAAATGGACCTACCCAAACATTCATTTTTCTGGTTTCTCTTTGAAATATATCCTCCACCAAAGGTAAAATATCTACAATCAAAGAGAAAAAGTCCTATCTCTCTAATGTGGTCAACGTTAGTACACTAGGTTTCCTGGTTCACCAGGGTCCTCACTACCTTTGTGAACGCTATAGAGATACAGGGGGGCCGTGTTTCTTGATAAACCCCAAAGCAATAAAGTAAGATGTTTGAATTTCTGGATGGTCTGGGTAATCCAAAACTCGCGCACATCTCAAATACCCGCCAGCCGTGCAGCATCGCGATTCACTGCTACCACGAAGTCCCCCGCACCACAACCATGGAATGGGGCGTCAGAAACTCTCTTGAGCCAGGAAGGATCGAGTCTCGGGTGAGTATTGCATGGTCTGTCTGAATTTAGTGATTGTTGTGTGAGACGAGAGAATTCTCAGCTAAACTGATTGAAAACAGTTGAGGCGAGGAGGGTGGAAGATGGGACACGTACGTGACGGGAAATCAGCAATATTTGACGTGGATAGGACATCGGGAGCGCGGTGGGTTGTTAAAGGAAGAGGTGCTTGATGGGAAGTTCAAGTGAGGATGCGGTGAAAGTGCGGTCAGATGGAAGTTGTTTTTATTGTCAAAATTTCCCCGCAAGAATCCCGTGAAAGACCTTCCTGTAAAAAGTTGAGAAATACATATCTCTCCAACAAGGAGGGCAAATCAAATGGCGAAGCGATCTTGACAAGATCACGACAGGTGGGAGCCTACCTTAGATCGTCAACAATACATGTGGGTTTGGGGTCTGAGGGCATGAGTGCTGGTATAGGGACGAAGGAAGGAGCCAGAGCGGGAATTTTCAAATAAAATGCAAGGTCTATCGGATTTTATATCTGAAAATTCAGTCTCATGTACAATCGAGTTTGCTGATCTTTGACTTCTTATAATTCGTGTGAGGTCAAGGGAAAGAAAGCCCAGAAAGAGGTAAAATTTATCTCCACAATGTTGACTAGGAGTAAGTCATCATGATAGAGATTCATATTTATATAGTTAAGAGTAGAATGGGAGTGATTTTATCATCAAGTCTTCATGTTAAATTGAAAAATAAAAGTGAAGAATGGCCAAAGGCTTATAATGATAGAGGCATCTACATTTATATCTGCTAGCGGCCGAAAGTAGAATGTGATACGTAGGACGGAAATATAAGTAGAGCAAGCAAGCAAGCAAGCATGCTAGGCATGCTCAGCTCGTCAACTAACTAAAATGTGTAATGTGATTTATGTTCACAGACGCACAGAGCTTCCGATAGTGACGTGACATTCGGATTGTGGGTTTAAACCAACCAAAACGGGCCAATTTTGGCATAACCAACTATACACTGAATTTCAGACCACGCGTGATGGCTTTCCCTTTCCGCTTTAGTGTTTACCTCTCACCACTTTTTGCTTAGTAAAACCGAGCATGCCTGCCCAGGTGATCCCTGAGTGTTACATAATCATTGAACTCGCACACGGGTGGAGCATCATCTGATCATTATGTAGGCTCCACCCCTGTAGGTCGGGGTAACCCCGTTTATATGCAAACTTTCACCAGCGCGAACTGTGGGGGAAATTACGGCCCAGAACGATTTACTGCAATTATCCAGGAGGGGCCATGAAATCCTGTGTGCAATGTCGAGAGACCAAGCGCAAATGTTTGCCCAGCAAGGGCAGTGATTCATCACCTTCCTGTATACGCTGCCTAAGGCATGATCTTGAATGTTCACATTCTCAGGCTAGACGACTGGTGCGCACTCGGCTTGAGGCCTGTCAGCACTCTGGGCTATCAGCAGAACTCCAGACTAGTACAACGAGAGTAGAAGTTTTCCTTTCCCATGATGAGTCTGTTGTGACACTGGTCCACGAATATCTGTCTAAGATTCACGGTCGGCCCCATAGTATTTTTCATGCAGGGACATTGTGGAAGGACATTCACGTCCGGCGAGCCAGCAAAGCTTTGGTTCTGGCGATCTGCGCAATGGGCGCTCACGTTTCAACCCAGCCAACTCTACGATCACTGGAGCCTCTGCTCACTGCAGAGTCTAAACGGCTACTTCAGATTGACCTTGAGCGAGTGTCTCTGGAAAATATTCAAACCTGCATTCTAGTGGCAAATCTATGCGTGGCACATGCAAACCCATCGTCGGAGTTCCTGTTCTTTCGTAAGTTTCTTTTACCTTTTTACCCTTTTGATTCCTGGATTCGACAGCTCATACATGAGTCTATGTATGCCCGCCGCCAGTGCCTGTATGTGTAGATACTCATGTTAGACGATATGATAGGAACAGCAATTGCAATGATGCAATTGATGGAAACCCGTACGACACAAGCCAATGACAACGCAGTCTCTCATGAGCTCCGGATCCGAATTTGGTGGGCGCTTTTTGCAGCGGACAGTTGGTGCTCTTCGAGCCTGGGCTTGCCCCGCCAGATGAAGGACTGGCCTCGACCAGCTCGGTTACCCATGGATGAGCGTTTGTTTGCCGACATGAATATAGATGAGCCATTAAACGACCCGAAGGGGCCATGCAAGAGCCCTGGTCTGTGGGCACATATGGCCACGCTTATCGAATTGTTCAGCCCAATCCAGGAACTTAATTGGCGCGCAGCCAACAGTGAAGGACTGCAACCGGATCAAATTGAGCAGGACACGGATCGCCTCGCCCGACTGCTGGATCACTGGGAAATTGCACTTCCACACGATTTGCAATTGACGGAGTCGAACCTCATAGAGCACAGCGAACGGGGCACGGGTGGCATCTTCATGGGCCTCCATCTGGGCTTTCACCACTACGCCGTCTTACTCTTCTACCAATATCTTGATACACGATCCATGTTGAGCACGCGTGCTCGGCAATTTGCAACTCGATGTAAACACCATGCTCTCAGTTATAGCACATGGCTCGCCCGGGGGAGACAGCAATCGGGATGCGAGGCCGTGTATCCAACTGTCGCGCATATGGCGACCGTCTCATCTTCCGTCCTTCTTCATACCCTGCTTTTTGGAGAAGAAAATGAACTTCCGCAGTCACGTCACTGCCTCGGAGCAAACTTTGAGGCATTGCTTGAGTTGGAAGAGTACTGGCCCATTGTCAGAACCATGGTGCGTATTCCCTTCCCTTGAGAAATAGTATTCCACTCTCACTCTGGCTGACTCTTTACCGAAGATTAATCGATTGATGGAATTTCAGAACAGCTGCCTGCTTCTCTCTCACTGTTACCAAACCCATCGTTTGGATCGTTGGATGGTGCGGTTTCTCTTTGAATACGCTCTACCGCTTGAGGACAAGGCTATCACTCCACACACGACGTTAGAAATGAGTATTATCTCCACACAGGCTCATATCTTCTCCCAAAAAGGTCGTTTGTCTACATTTGGGGCCAGCTAGCCTGTTTTACCAATTGGAATCAGACTCTAGGCATTGTCGCCTTACCTAGCAATCTTTTGTTCTACCCCGAACATGGCAATTTGAATCCTGATTATTGGAAATAACAGGCGCCACTTCAATACCTGAATTGGGAGTCATTTGGTTGTTCTAGTCTGTAGCCACGTGTGACTAGTAAGCTTAGCTTGTTAGCTAGGAGGAAAGGGGAAGAGAATAATATCATATTGTGTGGCTGCGGCAGGCACCTGGAGAGGGCCCCCCGGTCATGTGCTGCTATACTAGATACATACATGGTGACAAAGCTCTACCTCTTGTATCTGCAATGTCACCGGAAGAGAAGTAGTCCGCTTCGACTACACTGGAAGACAGTCACCTTTTGTCCTGCAATCCGTCACGCAGGCTTATCTAAACGACCAATATAGCAATCTCATATGGCTTGCTGAAGCTGATGGAGAAGCTGCCAGCAGACCCAGACAAGGTCGTGGTAGTTATGACGCTGCTCTCACCTCCCAATGAAGGCAAATTGTTGACACTCGTGGAACTTGGAGCAGTCAAGGTGATCAGAGTGGCAATGTCCTTCGACGAACCTTCGACGTTGACCTGCACAGCGTTGGACGAACCGGTTTGACCATTATAATTCACGAGCTTGAGGATAGTGGACGAACTGCTTGCTGTTGCCGACCAGTAGACGGGGCCGAATTCCCCGTCCGTGGCAGTAACGGGCAGAGTTCTGGTGCCCATGTGGTCGGCGAAAAGCTTCTGGACGTAGTAGCTGATGGTGTATAGAACCTCGTTTTCAGTGTGCTTTATAACAGCTACTGTGTCGGGCGCTTCGTTGTAGTTCTTGATTAAGGCACCGTAGGCAGAGCCGACAATAACGTCCGAGTTCCTTTCGCAGCCCAAGAGGAAGATGGCTTCTGCGCAGGACATGCCTAGAGTCTGCGCTCCCACCTGGCCATTGTTGTTAGAGCCAGTGTTGGTCGCTGCGTACTCGTTGACGAAGACGGGATAGCTGCGACTAGCTTGGTCAAAGGTGTTGAAAAGAGAGACAAAATAGTTCTCATTGCCGTAGATATGGAGGTCCAGAGAGCTACCGTTAGAGGTGACTGGGTTTGGGTTGATGGCGGAGACAAGATTGATAGATGGATAGACAGCGTGGATGGCGTCGTAGAAGGCCATAAATCGGTATGAATAGTAGGAGTTCGTTCCCCCGTTGAGGTAGTCTTCATTGCCAATCTCAATCCAATTGATGGTGAAAGGTGAAGAGAATCCCAGAGCAGCTCGCTTGGCCCCATATGTGGTAGATTCATCCCCCTGGTCATGTTAGCAATATTTTCGCGTTTATAGTCTTCGTTATGCATGCATAGACACTAGCATTCATAATGATACCAGGGGAGGCAGGCATGGGGCCAACCTACTAGAAGAAACTCCAACTCATTCATGACTGAATCCACGTATGGCTGTAAATTGGCCTGAGAGACGATCTCGCCATCCAGGTACAGTCCAGCCCAGATTCCAAGAATTACCTCAAGGTCTAGATCTTTTGCCATCTGCATCATCTCCAGGAGACCAAATCCATCGGTATTGATATCACCCCAGGTACCTGGACGACCGGGACGATCTGTGAGAGGGCCGATGGTTTCGTTCCATTTCCATTCATACGGGGAGCCGTTGCCCTCCATATTGTTTCCACCAGGCAACCGGATATATTTCTGATTCATATTGAGCAATGCCTCGGCCAGGTCCTCGCGCACACCATTGTTCCGGTTATCGAATGTCTGCTTGAACAAACTCAAAACATTGAAATAAACACTTTCTCCAGCGAGCTTTGATCCATCAAAAGTGAAATAAAACGTGTTGTTGCCGTCGGTGCCAGTTTTGCTCGGCTGGAACGTCGCAGAGTAGCTCTGCACCCAACCCGCAGATGATGTCTGATCGATGTTCATAACCGTGGATCCGAGTAATTCATCCGCCGTGGTGCTATTGAAGTAACAGTTGACTGCGCCTGAATAATTGCCGCGCATGTAGAAACTAGCGATGTACTGCTTGGTTGAATCCACGTCGAAACCCCAGAAGCCTTCATTGTAGAATCCTACAGTCCCCGTAGTCCCCGCAGGTATGTCCATTCTCATCTGATATGGCAAGCTGGATGAGAGGGCGGGAGAAGATTGGTCGATGGCCAGTGTGACTCCTCCAACAGGATTCCAATAATCCATGTTACGTGCTAGACTGGCAGTGCCAGCGGATGAGGATCCTTGGAAGGCTCGGTTCCGCAACATCTCCCCATAGAGACCGCCATCGCCAGAGTGGTATATATCCTGACAGTCATCGGTTATTATTGCAGCTTTGGAGAAACGAAGAAGAATCACCGACTTACCTCGTACAAAAGCCCATATAGGAGGGAACTGGATTGATTGCCACCAGACGAGGCGATGTCAAGGGTCAGCGCTGCCGCACTGGCAACGAGAGATAACACGACCGAAAGAATCATGATTTCCTAATTTTAGACAAGCTCCTTATGGATCAAGATGATTGATATCTTGGTCTGATCTGGTGAGCTTAGGAGACAGGCCAGAGAGACGGCCCTTTATATATACACATGCGACACTAACCAGCGTTCCCCGCGTTCTCAAAATCCGACACGAAATCTACAGACCCCGGAGGTTTAATCCAAGGATGAGCCAATAAACTTAGCACTCTATGATTGTCCAAGCATTCGGTGAGAGTTACACCGACGAAGCTGCCATCAAGTGAAATCCCCCACCATGAATTGGGCCCAGTATCAGGGGCATGGACGAGTTACAATGCAAATAAAAAGCAGGGGCTAGTCCCAAAACTGCAATTCACCGAGAGGGTTCAACTGTTTTGGCTAGCAGCTCGAATAGACTCGTAAGCTGCCTGTGTAGAAAGCCTCGCATACATAACTGCAATATCATTAAACCTGAACTAGAATCCCTAAAATGCCCAAATCTCACATCCCGATAGCCCCCTCATAAAAATCATCTCAAAATAAATGGCCCTAATGAAGGATATAGCGTTGTTGGGGTGATATCAACACTAGTGTCTTCTGTTTTAGGTCTACCGAAACCTCTTTGGAGTATGCCTGAGCTGGAAACAAGTAACTTCTTCTTGCAAAATCTTGAACCAGATTGACTTGATCCGATACGGACTAGCCGGGGCGAGGCTGAGCAAAAAGTCATAAATACTGTCAATTAATCTTTGGCGTGTCATACTGATAAACGGGTCTCGATACACCGTGTCTTCTATCTAAAAAGCTATTTCACACCTTGCCCTGGATTTGTTATGAATGGTGCAGTCGCCTGGGGCGGCCATGGCAAAGGATATAAGGGGATGCTCCACTGATGCTTTCCAGATCCCACATTCTCCTCCAGATTGTTGGAACCATCTTTAGCGCCCTTGACCTTGACCACTGCTTGGCAGTTTGGTGGGACTGTCAGATCCAAACAGAATTTCAGTGCTCCGTCTCGATCGGTATCGTGACCGATGCTCCACTGGCAGCTCCACCTGCCGTAGATACTCTCATACGACACTGCAGAGTGCGTTAAAGAGCCTCCTGGCTGAGGAAACACCAATGCAGTCTTCCAACCAGGTTCAAGCGGCCGCAACCCGCCCACAGTCTCATGAAGCCAATTGACAACAGAGCCCAGGGCGTAATGATTGAAAGAAGTCATTTCACCTGGGTTGATAGAACCGTTTGGCAGCATACTGTCCCAGCGTTCCCAGATGGTGGTAGCGCCCATAGAGATAGGGTACAGCCATGATGGGCAGCGGTCTTCGAGGAGCATCCGGTAGGCCAAAGAAAGATTCCCGGTATCGTTGAGAGCCCTCAAAACCAGAGGGGTACCGGCAAACCCGGTTGCTACGCGAAACTTTGCCATTCGGACACGCATAGCAAGTTGATACCTCGCCGTGGCCAGCTGCTGCTGTGTGGATAAGAGCCCGAAGACGATTGCCAAGGAGTAGGCTGTTTGGGAGTCCCCGACTATGAGGCCGGATAGCGTAATGTACTTGTCTTGGAAAAGGGCACGGAGACGCTTAGCTTTGCAGCTGTAATGTGTAATATCTGTCTCTCGCTCGAGGATCGAGGCAATCTTAGCCATAAGAGATGTGACGTGCACAAGGTATGCGTCTGCTACTAGCGTGCCGCTCGTTCGGCAATCACCAGGCTCGTCGGGCGGCGCTTGGGGGTCGAGCCAGTCACCCAATTGCCATAACTCAGGATCCCATAGTCCGTCTTCGCCTCGACATACTCCCTCATTTAGCCACAAGGTCATACTGGGATACTGTCGACGTAAAATATCGGCATCACCCGATGATTGATATAGTATCCAGGGAAGTATTATCACCACATCGCCCCACAGAGCTTGGGGAATGGATGGCCACACGTGGTCTAGAATATTGGGTACAACCAGAGGGGGAACGCCGTGGTGATCTGATTGCTCGCAAGCCACATCTTCCATCCACTCTGAAAGCATGCTAATGGAGTCATAAAGGAATGTCGCAGATGGGCCGAAAACCTGGATGTCTCCCGTCCAACCCAATCGTTCGTCTCGCTGGGGGCAATCTGTGGGGATGGATAAAAAGTTCCCACGCATACTCCAGCAGGCGTTTTGATGTAATTGATTGATGGCCGGGTTAGAACACTCAAATCGCCCCGTCCGCTTGAAGTCGGTATGAATTACCAGCGCCCGAATGTTGCTCTGCCAGGACGGCTCCGTCCGAGGGTCCCATCCATCGACTTGCACGAATCGAAAACCGTGGAATGTGAATTTCGGAGACCAATCAATAAACGACTGCCCGGATGAGATAATCGTATCGACGCATTGCGCACCACGAAGGGGTCGTGTTCCCAATTCACCGTTGTCGTCCATGACCTCAGCGTGAGTGAAGCTCACCGTTGCGTTCAATGGGAGGGTCATCGAATGTATTAGAAGCTTTCCAACCAGATTCTGGCCAAAGTCGAGGATATTACGGCCGGATGGGGTGGTAATTATCTTCCGGGGGGTCAATATCTCCGTTGTTCGTGCTGGGGGCGCGTTTGGAGCGTATAATCTTGCCCGGGGAAAGTCCAAAACGGAGACGTCCTCCCAGTCGGTGTCACAATAACGAGGGCCATGTTGGTGCCAGTCGGCGACTTCCGCCCGCGCATCATACAACTCGCCGTTGTAGATTTCACTCTTCACAATGGGACTTGGGTGGCACTTCCAGCTGGTATCTGACACCACCTGGAATCGTCCACCTGCGAGCCCACCTACCTCCAACTGAGCCATGACTGCCATCCGATCTCCGTATATATGCCGTTTGCCACCGCCAAAGCCCAGACGGCCCGCATACCAGCCTTCGGCGACCTCGACACTCAGCACGTTACTGCCATGTTGGTATACCAATGAATCGACGTCAAAAACTTGATATGCAAGTCGATTGTGGTAACTTGTCCATCCAGGCGCCATTTCATGATCCCCGATTCGTGAACCATTGAGATACGCCCGGTAGACCCCAAACGCCGTAATATATAGTCGGGCCCGTCGCACAGAGCTAACCCCGCCAGGCAACACAAATTCCTTTCGAAAAAGTAAAGGCCTCAGTGGTTCGTCTTTGTGGCTCATTGGAACGGATGGGCTGGAAATAGGTATTGCAGTCCAATCCTGCGGACTAAGAAGACTGCATTCCACTACTGCCCAAGACGACCAGGCAGACCAATCCGAATGTGTGCCACTGTTTGGCCTATCCTTCCAGCTACCATACACTCGAACTCGCACCTGGGCTTGTTCTCGCGACAGCAGTGGCGTGCTCGGCCAAGGGACCATTGATGAATTGGGACTTTTAATACTGAAGTTAGATGGAGATCCAGCTTCATGGCGCACGGAAATCTCATACTGGGACTGCGTCCAGTCGGAAATGGACTCATCGACAGCGGAGAAGGTCCAGGAGATGCGAGGCAAAGAGCAATTTACGCCTAGTCCTGAGGGATGCTGTTCGAAGCGTATTGCCATAATCTCGACCATTTCTGATGATGTGGTCCAATTATACTCTGCTGTCTGACGAAAAAGAGAGAAGGAAAAAAAAAGAAGAATAGAAGCTAGGGATAAAGTGGAGGACAGAGAAAAGAATTTCCAAGTTGGCGGCTATCTCCCTGCAGTCATCCTGTATCGTCTGACCTCGCTTTCTATTCTACCGAGCAGTCGATTATGTCTCGCAAACTTGGCCATATCCTATACCCCATACCGAAATATGTACCTATATGTACCATCCATGGATGTGGAGTGGCTGCGGAATCCCTTCATTATGATTGGTCTATTTTCCGCAAGCGTTCGTAAGCCCACCGGGAGGTTTCCTAGTCAGGGAATTAGTGGGTCTTACCGAGCTCCACCCTTGGTTCCTTCCTCCACGCTCGTCAAAATAGAGTTAACCAGCTTGGGCCACCCCCGCATCGTGTACTGGTTGAATTGCACATCGTGCCCCTGTGAAGTCAGTGTCGCTCTGGTGCCAAGAATATGCCGAGCTCCCCCCAATGGAGATCTGCATAGCTTAAAAGCTGGGGATATCCTTCCAATAGTTCTGGGCATACAGCGAGATCTTCATTATTTAAATATAATTAGGATCATTTCAACGCACTCGAATAGAGGATGAGGTTTCCTCCCAAGGTTTACCAGTTCCTGGTGGGCACTTTTGCTGCACTTGGATCTTTCCTCTACGGATATGACCTTACTATCGTGGCCGAGGGTAAGCTAGCCAACGTAGAGTTCGCCCCATAATTTGTTCGCAGGGACTGACGAAGTTGTATCTCTCTTGATCAGTGGTGTCTAGCGGTTCATTCCTGAACTACTTTAGCCCAACCACCAGTGAAATAGGTCTGGTCGCGTCGCTGCTCACAGCTGGAGCTTTCGTCGGCGCTGGGTTAGCGTACCCGTGCTCAGATCACTTTGGCCGCCGAGCAACCATCTTAACTGGCGGATTGATCTTCTGCCTCGGTGGTGGACTACAGACCGGTGCTCAAAACTATGGCTACATCTTAGGAGGTCGTTTCATCTCGGGCGTCTCGTGAGCTTCCACTGCCAAACTCTTTCCCGAGTTTGTGACCTACGCCTAACTTGATTAACTAACAATCCATAGGATCGGTGTCCTCACTATGATCATTCCAATTTATCAGGCAGAATTGGTCCACCCCGATATCCGAGGCTTGGTGACTGGACTGCAGCAGTTCATGGTCGGCATTGGTGGAGTTTGTGGAAGTTGGATCAGCTACGGCACCTATGTCAGCTTCTCAGATAACAGGCAATGGCGCATACCATTGGGTATTCAGATTGTACCGGCTGCTCTTTTGTCCAGCCTGATTTTCTTCTTCCCCGAATCACCTCGGTGGCTCATTAGCCAGGGCCAGCAAGAGAGGGGTCTACAGACCCTCGCACGACTACATGCTAACGGTAACACATCCGATCCTTGGATTCTCGCCGAGTTTGAACAAATCAAAGCCCAAATTGCTACAGAAAATGAGCATAGCCAGGTCACATTATATCAGTCGATCAGCGATAAATCAAACTTCCGGCGTATTCTGCTGGCTTGCGCCATGCAAGCTGCCACGCAAATGACGGGAGTCTCCGCTATTCAATATTACTCGGTCACCATCTTCGTAAGCCTTCCTGAACTCCACAGCCTCTTTTTCTTCAGATTGCTGACTGTGACTCCAAACTAGAAACAAATTGGCATCGATGGAACTGACACCCTGCGCTATCAAGCCATTAACTCAATCATTGGCCTTATTGGTGAACTGCTCCTCATGCTGATCGTCGATAAAATAGGTCGTCGTAAGCTTGTGGTGGGTGGAAATCTTGCCATGTGTCTCACATACGTGATCAGCACAATTCTTCTCGCCCAATTCCCTCCCGAGATGAACAACGCGGGCGCGCATTGGGGCTTCGTTATCATGACATGGGTTTATAATTTCTGCTTCGCAAGTATGGGATCACTGTGTATGTTCAACCTACCTTCCATTTTCATCATTCCTTTACCCAGCCCTAAAACTCGTCCCTAACGTCTATTTAGCTTGGATGATCCCCGCCGAGATTTTTGATACAGCAACCCGAGCCAAGGGTGTAGCTTTGGGTTGCATGGTATCATTCGCATTTAAGTTTGTCTTCCAGTCATCTCTATCTTTCACCCTAAAAGAGGTTCAATATTGACCTTTATTTCCTTCTCATAGCACAATGATTGGTCAAGTGACACCCATTGGAATGGCAACCTCCGGGTGGAAGTTCTACATCCTTTTTGTGGTCAGTACCCATCAAATAACTCTCCTGACCTTTCCTTTGCCTTCCGCACTGTAATAGTACATCCTTTGGGAGGACTCCACCATAGCTGACAGCGTTTAACTAGGTCTGCAATTTCACCAATGCCGTCTTCTTTTGGGCCATGCTCCCTGAGACAAAACAGTTGCCTTTGGAGGAGATGAAGAAACTCTTCACCGAGACTCCCTGGTTCGTCGGCAACAGGACTACAAGCGACCACCGGATCACAGAAACCAGTATGCTGGCGGAGCGAATCAAGGAGCAAGGACTAGGGAATAAGAATGGCATGGCTGAGCATGAGGAGTTTACCGCTTGATCAGAGTCGGGTGCGGGAGCAAGGTGTTGGGGGCGCATTTCAAAGGCTTGATCGATCCTGAAGCAACAGGACAGTATGTTTGGTCTTCCTCGACATATAGGTTGTTGTAGCTTGCACATCGTTCGCCAAATTGGATATTGTGTTACTTTATATATTTGGGAAAAATTTCTATAGGAACCATCCATTCTATCCTATTCTATAGGTTGCGACTAGTTAGCTTATAATATCTGCTTCTCTTCGCATGTTTGATAGTGGCCGATCAAGATCAGCTAATAGGGCGAGTTGATAAGCCGGTGCTAGACCAGCAGAACTTACCTCTTGGTTGTGCCTCAGAGCTTCTGAATATTTAGTAAATCTTAAATCCTCAAGCTGGAGACTGATTGTTGATTTAATCTCCCTGGCAAATCCCTAGCACTCGATATTACGTGGCAGCAGCTTACGCAAGTATCTTCGCCTCTACGCTGATAAGTCAAGTCAAAGATCGAGACCTAGCATTGCGTGAGCTGATACTGACTGGAGCAAGAATTGCCAATGCCCTCACACAAAAGTTTAGGGCCGCTCCGCTCAGCAGGAGGGAAAGTGAAGAGCATATTGTTCATACTTTAAATGAGGCGGTTGAAACGGCCAATCCATTCGCTTCGGGACTACGCTGTCAAAAGATTTGTGAAACTGGAGAGTAGTGCCAGGATTATTTGTTGTGGCCACTGAGATGTTGAAAATTACTCCAAGACCATCGTTTATAGGTTGATTGCTGAGAGCAAGCTGAAGTTATACCGAGCGATGCCTGCAGAAGCGAGAAGTTTCTTCACAACACTATTCGACCAGTGTGAATAAAGTGAAATTGGAAGTCAACTTTGGAACGAATATTATATATCCTGTTGACCATTCTCTTTTGAATTTTCACTCGTGCAGGTGTGGTCCTTGTGTGGCAGGTCATATCACCGCGGCTATATCTGGGATGGCAAGGTGATAAAAGCGCAGACTCCATATCATGTCGGTCATTCGTTTTCAATGCTTTTTGATATCTAAATCACTTAGGCTGAATATTTGAAGTTATACCTATACTTAGTGGTCTTGGCTCTTTAGTATGAAGGCGGCCGTGGCAATAAGTGTGCTGAGCCGTGAATTATTGAAGGAAGAGAAGGCACTTTGGTTTTGAATAGCTAGCCGCTTATGCGACTTTTTGATGTCTTTTTAGCTAGTCATCTTTTTATATTAAAAGGAGATGACATTGAAAGTCTCGAAATGGGTTGGATACACGTTGATAGCTTATTTTAGAAACAGCGAAACAGCAACACCCAAAACTTATCCTCTTCGCTTGTTGAAACTCTACTTTCAAAAGCATTCTCGTGTTTCCCAACGCTAGGTCTTGTGTTAATCAATATCATTCTAAAACTCTTAAATGATCACATCTAATATATATTCAAAGTGACAGCGGGTGGTATGGATCCGTACATTAATCTGGCAGACATGGAAGCCACATATTGGAAAGCGAAGCAACATTGAATGGTGCCCAGCTTAGCGACTGCCATAGTACGAAAGCACGGGGCTAAGGCCCTGAGCAGTCCCGATAGAAGTCTCAAACTGGAGTCTCCACCACTCAACCAACTCACGGTTTTCCATGAAGGTCGCAAACTGAGTCAGGGACGAGAATTTATCGTCCCACACACTTCCCGCCTTCGAAGTCAAGTCCTTCCGTACCAAGTAGCTCTCACCGTCGACGAATTGCTGCTGGTATTCGTCGCTAAGCAACCAGCTCATGAACAATTTCGCACTTTCGGGGCGAGGAGTAGAGGCAAAAATAGCACCAGTCTGTGGCCAGAATAGATGAGTGTCTTCGGGCGTTTTGCTAGCGAGGTTTTTAGCTCCGCTCAAGCCAGTGGTGAAAGATAACGACCGAGTTGAATTGGCTTCAGCAAGATAGTCAGCTGGCTCGCCAGTTCCCCGAACCCATTGTACGTCCTGTTCAATGAGTGATTCGAACCATTCCCAGCCATATTTGTCGATGATGACAGAGAAGAGATATGTGATAGCGTCGTCGTCGTTGGGATACGTCAACGTGAGTTTGCTTTTCCACTCCGGGCGTACAAATTCACCATAGGAGGATGGGACATTAGACTCATTCACCAGTCCGGTGTTGTAAATGAGATCTCCGAATCCATCTAATCCACGAATAATAGAGTAAGTTAGCCTAAGAAAATTTTTCTGAAGGGAGGAAGATAGGATCATGTTGCTCACAAATAAATGCGCCCACAAAGGCACCTTGAGGATCCTTGATAGCGGTATAAATGTCCTCCCATTTCAACGGCTTGTAGGGTAACAGCCGTCCCTCCCTCTTCCAGCGACCGAAATCCTGGACCGTCTGCAACACCGCAATGTCTGCGCCGTCGGTTCCATTGCGCTGGAACTGACGATTGACTCGGCTGTCATGATATTTTGAAACATCTACAGTCAGATTGAGCTTGATTTCAGGGAATCGTGCTTGCCATGCTGCAATCGTTGATTCGCCCTGGCTAACAGCTGTTCAACCGTGTAAGTAAGAGTTCCTCTGGAATTTGAGGGTGAAATTGTTACCATCTCCTCCCCAAAGAACAATCAGGTCCCCCGTCTCCTGTTTAGCAGACTCGTAGATTTCGTCCAGAGTGCGGTTCTCAATAGCAGGATCGTGGCCAGGGTAGGAGTTCCATTTGGGCAGCACGTTGCAGCGAGCAAGGTCCACCAGGCCCAGAAGGCTGAGGATAAGTGGCTGTCTGGCGATTTTCATAGCAGCTTCAAGCGGATTGGAGTTTAATTGTTGAGGATACTTGATAAAGGTGTGCTGTAATGAATGTCAATCAATGACACGTACGGAGCAATATATAGTTATATGTGTTATGTATTATTTGTAAACGGAATTATCCCGCGATTATGTAAAATTAAGTTATTCAAACGTTGGAAGGTTATTTAAGGTTATTACAAAGCGATATTTAAGGGGGGAAAAAGGGGGTGGGAGAGGAGAGGAAGTTGGCCGCATTCCGATGTCGTGATGGTCCTTCGCAGGCACATTACCAACCTGGCCCAGGTGGAGCAACTTGGCTTTGAGCCAAGTACTCCGTAAGTTGATTTATAATCTAAAACATTTCGGCCTTTTCATTTTCTGAGGTCTCCAATATGCTCTTTCTTGGTAGGTACAATCTGCCAAAACACAGCACTTCTGTGAAAAAAAGAGGCAAATCCTATCAATCAGATAAGAACTACTTACTCCGTAGATGCCGTTGAAGAATTCATGTGGAACGACAGTATCAATGCCAAGACCTAGTTAAATTAGTATCGTCGGATTTTCGGCCGTGTTTCAGTTAGCCCATCCTTCTGGTTATTCATGCGGAGAATACATTTCAATTCGGGCATCTTCCCCGTCTTACTGCCCAGATTCTGGTTCAGGAACAACCCTCGTTGCATCCAATCCTACTCCGTACTTTGTAAATCCTTATGCGTGAGGGTATTGACAAAGACGGTTATTTTTAGCCGGGTATTTATTTTCGCACGTTTACATGAATAATAGATACTTTGATTTGGCGGACTATGAGGGAGGTGATAGGGGCATTATTAGACAGGGCGGAGGCAGATGAGCGAGAGTAAATATTCTGGAGGACTTTGGGTATATTCCAGGTTTTAGACCGCATTGCGCTTATTTGATGTTACTTATTGTTTTATTTCTTCTAGACAAAGATGTATGACCATGCTAAAGTTGTACGCGAAAGCTGACAGGCTAGTCCTTAGGTTGGCGCGATGGACTCTGGAACCTGCCGTAGTTGGGGCCGTAATTACGTGAGCCCCCACAACTGAGGCCCCGCCCCATATTCCTTCACGACTCCACGTACAACATCGAGCTATCGAGCTATCGAGCTAGCACTATGGGACGCTCTTGCTGTGGAGCCACGCCCTCTCAGGCAGATACAATCAACAAATTTGTGCCAAAAAACTCAGAGACGTCCAGTCGAGAGAACTCTTGTGGAAACGGCGATATCCAAAACAATGATGACAACAATACAGATTCCTCTGCTAAAGCCACAGACACCTGCTACCAAGAGCCTACCGATTCTTGCAAGGGTAAGGCTCGGCCTGCGGCTTGCGAGGGAGGCTGCTGCGACCAGTCTAGCGAGGCTATTGGTGAAAAGGATGTCCCTTCTTTGGGTGCTTCTACCTCTAAGGAAGCTTGTTGTGCAGAAGATTCTACCATCAAGGCTGGAATGCTAAGCCCCAGTGTTTCCTGTCCTGGTACCCCATGGTTGAGCAAACCTGCTACTTCGGTTGAACCTACCGTGGCAGAGTGCTGCCAGGGCAAGCCTTCGCCCTGCTGTGATGAAACCTGCCTCGACCGTCTGGCTTTACGTGAGTGTGATACCGGGTCAAGCACCCATCGCATGGAAACAGCTGGATACTGTATGTTGAAATGAAATCTCTTATTGTCATATTACTCTACTAACGTTGGATGCGATGCAGCTTGTTCCTCGATATCTACACCGGCGGAAGGTGCGAAGATCAACCGCGGAGCGTGCGACCGTCACTATCGCTCAGTTAGAGAGCAGTATGCTGCTAGGCTTACGGCACTCGGATGTATCTGCCGTGCCCTTCTTGCCCTTGGCAAGGAATCATGCTGCGAGCCTCGAAAGCGCTCTTCGCTGGGTAAGGGGCGATGCTCCGAACGACCATTGAAACAGTCTCTCTCTCGCGTTTCGGTTGAATCTCGCCGCACATGTGGAATGCCTAGAAGTCGATCGCCCGGCCGAAGTATCAACCACGGCGGAACGTACAAAATTGCAGGTGGTGTTCAAAAGAGTGCCAGCCAAGGTTGCTCTGCTAACTCTTGCTGCAAACCCAATACTACCACATTCAGTGATAACTGTGTCGATCCCTGCGCCCCCGAAGCAGACGGAAGGAAAATCAAGTCAGCAGATAGCTCCTGCGCTGATATTTGCTGCACCCCCAAAAAGCTATCCTTACCCAAAGACAAGAAGAGTGGGACCGTCAGCATCACCCCCGATCTAGAGGGCCAAGCCATAGGCGTTGAGCACGCTGTTCTCTCGATATCTGGTATGACCTGCACTGGGTGCGAGACGAAACTCAACAGAACCCTCGCGACAGTGGCAGGCATTAAGAATCTGAGGACCAGTCTAGTTCTCTCTCGAGCTGAATTTGATTTGGATCTCAATCTCTCAACTATGGACTTTGTTATGAAGCACTTGGAACGGACTACAGAGTTCAAATGTGAGATCATCACCAGTAATGGGTCAACTATGGATATGATTGTTTCTGGGGATCCATTCTTGATCGTCAACCAGGCTTGGCCAGATGGCGTGAGTGACATATCGCTTGTCGAGAAGAGTACTATTCGCGTTTCTTTTGACCCCGAAGTGGTCGGGGCACGAGATCTCATTGAAAAACACTGGGGCGAGATTGCAAAGCTTGCACCCATTTGCGCTGACCCAGCACTCGCAGCTGGAAGCAAGCATGTCCGCCATTCCGGCTTCATGACTCTCTTATCTGCAGTCCTCACGATCCCAGTGTTGGTCATGTCATGGGCCCCCATCCCTAAGAGAGAAATTGCCTATAGCTCTGCCTCACTGGCTTTAGCTACTGTCATTCAGGTTGTGATAGCAGGGCCTTTTTATCCTACAGCTTTGAAGGCCCTTCTCTTCTCGCGAGTCATTGAGATGGATCTTCTTATCGTCTTGAGTACTAGCGCGGCATACATTTTCTCTGTGGTCTCTTTCGGCTTTCTCGTTGCTGGTAACCCTCTATCCACTAGCCAGTTCTTCGAGACAAGTACCCTTCTGGTTACATTGATCATGTTCGGACGATATATCGCCACTCTTGCGCGACAAAAAGCAGTGGAGTCAATCTCCATTCGATCACTTCAGGCCCAAACTGCCCTTCTTGTGAACCCTTCAAACTCTTCGGAGGCTCAAGAAATTGACGTTAGGCTACTGCAATATGGAGACACATTCAAAGTCCTGCCTGATGTGAGAATCCCCACCGATGGAACTGTTACATCTGGTTCATCAGAAGTAAACGAGTCGATGCTCACTGGAGAGTCCCGTCCTGTCGAAAAAAATCCCAAATCCCGTGTTATTGCAGGGACTATCAACGGATCGGGAAGTCTAGTTGTTAGGCTAACTCGCCTCCCGGGTGACAATGCCATTAACACTATCGCCGCCATGGTCGATGAAGCCAAGCTTTCTAAGCCAAAGATCCAGGAACTCGCGGACAAGGCGGCTTCCTATTTTGTTCCAGTCATTGTGGGTTTGACTATCGTCACATTTGTTATTTGGGTTGCTGTTGGCATAGCAATACAAGGCAAGACCGGTTCCGAAGCAACCGTCCAGGCTGTCACCTACGCCATCACCGTGCTTATTGTCTCCTGCCCTTGCGCCATTGGTCTCGCCGTACCGATGGTGGTTGTAATCTGCAGCGGTATTGTGGCGGAGCGAGGTGTGATATTCAAGTCCGCACATTCCATCGAAGTCGCACATAGGGCCTCTCACGTGGTCCTTGACAAGACAGGAACCCTAACTCGGGGAAAGCTCAGCGTAGCCGTTGAACACTACCTTGAAAATGGAGAATCATGCCTGTCACTTCTTTTGGGCCTGGTTGGCGACAGCAAGCACCCGGTTTCGGTTGCTGTTGTTAATCATCTTAGACATAAGGGGATTTTTGCAACAACTGTCCCCGACGTTAAAAGCTTAACTGGCCGAGGTGTGGAAGCAAAGCTTGCTAATCAATCACTACAAGCTGGAAATTCTCGCTGGCTAGAGCTTTCCACCCACCCGCTGGTACAGCCGGTGCTTACACAAGGCTACACCGCGTTCTGCTTTACCATAGACGGTGCACTACTTGCAGTCTTCGGTCTCGAGGACTCTCTCCGAGCTGATGCAACCCATGTGGTCAAGGCTCTACAGAAACGCGGGGTCTCCGTTCATGTGGTATCAGGCGATGATGAAGGCGCCGTGCAAAACGTAGCCACAAAGTTAGGAATCCCCGAGGGCAACGTTCATGCTCGGAGCTCTCCGGCAGATAAACAAGTCTATATCAAAAGTCTCCTAGGCAATTCTTCAGATGGTAAGGTGCCGATTGTCATATTTTGTGGGGATGGCACTAATGATGCCGTGGCTCTCGCGCAAGCTACCATTGGCGTTCACATGAACGAAGGTAGCGACGTTGCCCAGTCTGCAGCTGATGTTGTGCTTATGCGTCCAGATTTGTCTGGTCTCCTCACCGTGATGAATGCTAGCAAGGTCTCTGTGAGACGCATCAAATTCAACTTCGTTTGGAGCTTTGTTTACAACACATTTGCTGTGCTCCTTGCGGCCGGGGCCTTTGTGAATTCCAGAATTCCACCCCAGTTTGCGGGACTGGGGGAGCTAATTAGCGTACTGCCTGTCATCATCGCTGCTGTGCTCTTGCGCTGGTCCAAGATCTAGCTTGTGGGTGAAACAATGATTATAGTATCTTGAAATTTTCCTCTCATAAGAGAAGATGATCCTATTCAACTAAATATTGACTGTTCTTTTGATGTGTCAGAGCGACTTTGTGACCTAACAAATGGAACGCAATGTGGTTCGGATGGTTGTTTTCAACAAGCAATCGTTCACTTCCTTTAGCAAAATCAAGCATTTTTCTTTCATATCGCTTCTCTGTATGGCTAGGAGAATACGTTGTAATACCGTGAGTTGAGAGGAGAGAAGATGATATGATTATAGATGGCACCGGGCATTTGGGAAATTTTCTATTTACTCTACTTGTTTGTAGTATAATACATAAAACATAGCCCACCGCATTTGCAGCCTTGCTCCATCTTTTTATAGGTCTTTTTAGTAGTCTTTTTAGTGGTCTTGTTTAGATTACCCCCCTTGTAGTGTTGTATCTAGAGTATAGGTGATAAGACCGGTTTAATTTGTGAACAGGACTTTTCTAGGATTGAGCTCTACTACATGAGCTGATCTATGTACAACCAACCGTTCATTCGATGGAAGAAACACACTTGCATTGGGGTATCTCTTGTTTGCACTATTGTATGATGCTGTAGCGTTTGACCTAGCAAGACTGAAGGAAATATAGATTTTTAAGACATAAAGATAAAAAGCAACTCAATTTTTTAGGACACGCATCTACCATCTTTACCATTAGCTTTCTTCTTAGGCATAAAGATCAAACGCGACCAAATTATATAAGATATGTACTATCATAGATCGCATCTAGCGTTCAATATTAACCTTTAGATTCGTTTTTGAAGATAAGGATAAAAAGCGATCTAACTGTATAGGACTTGTATTGCTATGGATCGTATATACCATTTAATTTTTATTAACAGATTTGGTCTTGAACATGAAAACAAAACCCGTTCTAAATGTACATGATAGATCAAGTTCATGAGCACCAACTGGCAAGTGGAAAGTTGGCTCCCGAGACTCTGGTCACCGCCATCGCCACAAGGTGGCTTGTGTGTGCTTCTCCTCATCCATCCTCTTTTCCCATGACCACCCAACGCTGCCTGCTTCCTACTTCCTACTCACCATATTTTGCTTGAAATATTCCGTACCTTCACATATCCTCTTTGATTCCTCTATCTAGTTTTTCTACTCCTTCAACCAATGAACCGATCATCACCGTGAAGAAGAACACGCACACACAACCTCACAGACCGAGCCGCCATGGCGCGACGGTACGAGATCGATGAGCTGATATGGCTCCGCGGCTCGCCCCTCGTCGCAAAGCCTCCTGGACTACCTCCAATTGAAGAATGGATGTATGTTGGCTCTAATGCTTGCAATTCTTCGGCTGTCCCGCACTGTCGACGTCAAGACTGACCGCAACCTCTAGGCCTCAACCTGACCCAACAACCACACAACGCAAAACCCATGGCACCCGTGATGCCAATAATCCGGCTGAAACGACTGGCACAAACAGAAGGCCTAGCTTTTTTGAACCTAAACATATCTCTCGGGGGTCCAATTCTGGTATTATTATCTCCCTTTCTGTCGATCACCAAGCATCCTGATCGGTCTACAATGGAGGCACTTGCTAATGTGGATTTCTTCTACCTCCAGAGGACATTGTACTCGGCCCCCCGAAAACTGCCTTCGCTTCATCGCGCATTGGCGGCAAAGGCTCGTTCGATTTGACAGACCGACCAGCGGCGCGGCCAAACGACTCGGATGAAACGAAGAATGACCGATTCAACTTCAGAGACAAATTTTTCAAGGACCGCGATGCCCCAGAGAAAGAGTTAGATCGACGGGAGGCCAAGCCAGGGCCACTGACTGCCCGGCGTGGGGAGAGAGAAGACTGGAACGCCGGGCGCCCACGTCGCACATTCGGCCCGGATGAGCAGGAGCGCAAGCCCAGGCGAAACGGCGAGTTTGACCGATGGGAAAGCAAAGAAGGACCTCGCGATCCCAATGCTGAACGGGTGCCGCGTGACAAAGATGGCCGGTTCCCAATTCGGAAAGAAGGACAACCCCCACGATCCAAATATGAAGGAAGCTGGTTCCGCGAGGAACAGGCCCAAGAGGCCGCTGATGCTGATGACGATAAACCGCCGTTGCGCAACCGAGAATGGCGCCAAAACCAGACCCGACACGGCACCGAACGTGAGTGGAACCGCGGCGCCAAATTTGAACAAGAACCTGAATGGCTGGATGCCAATGAACGAGACGAACCACGACGAGCACACACTCAGGAGGACTTTGAGCGGTGGAAGGAGCGTATGAAGGCTGGATCTGGATCATCCGCACAACCCCCGGCACATACCGAGGAGAAGAGAGAAGCGCACATTGAAGAGCAAAAGCCGGAATCCCGCCGTACTGATGGTGAGATCTTCAGCAATTCTGGCGCTCAGTTCATGTCCGACGAGTCAATGGAACGATTCTTCGGGCTCTTGGGTGATTCGAAGGCCCAGCCTCAGACCCCAGAGGTCAGTACTCCTATCGCTGCCGATCCAGTCGTCAAAAAGGAACCTTCCCCCTTTCCCGGAAAGCCTGGAAAGTCATCTCGTTTTGCAGGTCTCTTTAGCCCCATGCCGGAGAGCCCTGCCAGAGAGCCCGAGCCGATGCCTTATTTCAGTGCCCCGCCCCAGCCCCAGCATTATCAACAGCCCCAGCCGGCGCCCGAGAGTATGCCTTTCCCATCCCACAGTGCGGACCAAGAAGGCTTTCAGCGCATTCTGCAGATGCTTGGTGGACAACGCTCGGAGAATTCTACGCCCCACGAGATGGGTTTGCCTCCGCAGCAACGGAATATCTCCATGATGCACGCCGAGCAGCAACATGCCGCGCTATCTATGTCATCTCCTTCCAGGGAACACCCCCACCGATCCGATTACATGGGCGCTGGCCCCGAGAATCCCATGGCCCAAGCTGGCCCCAAGGATCCTCAGGCGCTGGAGAGGGCGCACTTGCTTCGTTTGATGCAGCAAGTCCGAGTCGGTCCACCACCTGCGGGTCATCTCCCCCAGCAGTCCCCGAACCCGGGAATTGCCCCTCCTCCAGGTCTCATGCCAGAAGGCATGCCACAAGGCATGCCACGTCCTCCGCCAGGGCTTTCTGCTCAAAAGACACCCACTTTCCTCGATGACCCTGCAATTGCAAACATGCAGCGACCAGATAGCGAGCACCTCCGTCGGCGACCTGCAAATGGTCCGCCTATGGGATTCTTTGACGATATGCCGTTCCCTCAGGGTAATCAAGGCCCTATGACCCCGGGTGGTCCCATTACTCCGGGTGGCTCGCGGCCTCCTCAAGGCGCAAATCAGCCTCCCATGCCGCTTCAGCGACCCCCGGGTCTTGAGCATCTGCCACCCCCTGGATGGACTGGTCAGCCTGTCCCGCAGCAAGGAAATGTACCAAACCCTATGGGCCCCCCTCCTGGAATATCCACACCGGGCCGCGGCATGAACCCCAACTTCCCTCCTGGCATGCTTCCTATGCCCGGCAACGCGCCTCCAATGAATGAGCGCCAAGGCTTCCCTCGCGGCCTGCCTCCAGGCATGATGCCTCCTCCGGGTTATATGAACGGCCCTCCCCCAGGCTTCCCTCCCATGCCGCCAAACCCCGAGGCTATGATGGGACTTGGTCCTGGTGCCCAGGGTCCCTTTGGACCTGGCAACCCTGGCCCACAGGGCCCTCCCCCCTCGTCTAGACACCTTCTGGAGATGTTCGGCCAGTCCAACGGCGGTGATATCCGTGGTGGCATGGTCGGTCCCGGCCAGTTCAGATAATCAGAGATTATTGGAAATGAATTTCTATCGTCTCCATTACATTTACGCACCATTTACCACTGCCCAATGACCATTTATGATTATCTACGCTAGCTTGGTGAAGCCGATGTACATGGGCACGTGATCTTCTTTTTCCATTTTCCATCCACCCAGATCCCACGGCAACGTCGCACTTCCTTTTGAGAGAACAAAATACCCATTTTCTTGTTTTTCTTTCTTTCCTCGATGTATTTGCTCATGCCTTTTCGGCAAAATGATGCCCGTGTTCAATAACTGACCCCTACTCCGCGTTTGAGCCTTTGCTGCGTTGGCTTTGGCTTCTCTGGTGTGATTTTGCTGCATCTGTTACCGGGCCTTATCTTTTCCTCTCCCCTTCATATCTTTCCGGTGTTCTTGAAATCTCTCAAGGGGCGATGTGTCTGTGCGGTGTCTTTTGGTGTTGGATCTGATGAGTATAGTCGTGATGACTACAACTGAGGATTGACAATATGTGTCGATAAGGTGGTGGATGGATGGTCTTTAACTATGATTCCATTGGGTCTCCGTTCTTACCTAGTTGCCGGTAGACCCATTATTTGTTTCCACAGATAGCTGACCAACCTCAATTTATCCATCACTTGTTCGAGACTAGGATCACTGTGAAATATTTCATAATAAATGATGTCCATCGATGAATGGCTAGTAGGTACTATGTCTCGGCCCGATCTGTCCTTGACAGACTATATTCTGTGGTTATTGTATTAACTAAACAAGTGACATTATCCCTCCCAGCTTAGGAGCAATGCCTTACTACGTATGTACTACTCCCCCCTCCCGCTGTTGTTAACAAGCCAGCGTATTGCTCCCCTCCATGCCGTACTAACTGAGTTATTTGCTATAGTGGTTCCAGCATGTTCCTTTTCTAACTACATATCAGCTCTGATGTACTCGCTCTCGTTGCATTCTTTAGACTCTTTATTGATAATGTTTGTATCCGATATGTCTTCGGGTGTTCCTTGTAGTCTTCTTAGTCTTGTGAGAATGCCACATTGTGGAACTTGTCGGATGCGATTGCCACTATGCAGGCATCGTATATAAGTCTACAAAAAGGTATTTGTGCTTCCTTCCCCCTGTTATAGCGTGACTCAAAATATCCCAATCCAGATTCGGTCCCACCAACCAGCATGATACTTAATGTATATTCTGGATGTATCGCACCGTGAGGAGGTTAAAACTTCATATCAGCACTAGACTATTTGGTGGCATATCTATTCAACATGCATAGTGTGATTTTTGAAGCTGAATTGCTATCTATGACCATATTCAAGCTACTCAGGCCGTTCCTTTCGTCCCTAACCCCTTCTGGAGTTTAGGCGTTGGGCACTGGGTATTTGCTGCGGAACTGTATGACCAGATCACCTGCTACATAAGTTTGGTTGAAACCTTTGTACCTTGAATTAAGGCATAGAAAATTACGATAATTATCGATAATGATTTCAGTGCTGCCACTTTCAGAACACATTGATTTGATTCCCGCGAGAAAAGATGATACAGTTGGAATTAGCAGTGCGAGAGCTGATTAGGCCAGTCACGTGACTACACGTGATATTCCTTGCCCCCATCGATTTGTGAAAATGAAGTATGAAATGACCAGGTAGCTTTATGGATCATATATTACCACTTATGACAATTGAAATTCTTAATAATTAGAGCATAAAAGGAGTAGATTTCGATGTTCAAATACCTCCCGGACTAGATCCAAGCAATATAAAGTCAACTACCCATTCTAACATCGTTGAGGTTACTTACCTTCAGCCTTGGAGGTACTGGCCGACGACTAAGCGGGACTTATTCGACGACTAAGCATAGCAAACGCCCATCGTATGAACTGTGTTGTATATTTCCATGTATAGTGATTTGATCTCAATCTTGTCGTCACCCGACACAACGCCGGCGATATCTTGTACACAAACCTGTGCAGGGCTCGGCCACTGAGTATCGAGGATACATCCTGATACTTCCTCAAGTTACCTCATACTTTAATTCAAACAGCCAAGTATATACCCGTGTTAACCTCAGCCTTTGGAGTGTTGTCGAGTCCCATGCTAACATTCTCAACCCATAGGCAGGACGGTTGAGCCAACCGGCGAGCTCCAGTACCTCATCATTTGAATCAAGAATATTGAAACATGTGTTTCTCTAAGGTAAGATCTCACTTCAAAGATTTTGCCAGTCAGAAAAATTGGTTGGCTAGAGACCTCCGCGATAGAAAGACTTGCATCGCAAGGGCATTGTGCGCTAATTGAATGGCTGAGTAGTCCTCCAACATGGATCCTGCGGATGTGGATATCAGTCTTCAAGTGGACGATAATAGGGTAAGTCAATGTCTCGGCGCTTTCCCTATTCGCGCGCGCGTTATCTATTTGTGTCCCACCAAGCTAATGTTTGACGCTCTCCGTGTTCACCACCTAGGTCGCCCACATCCAGACTGAATCTGCACTTCCCCACATTCGACCTTCGGTAGAAGACTACTTTGACGAACGCCCTGTCACTGTGTCCATCTCTACGGGGGTGAAGCGCAAGCGTGTCACTACTCCAACCCGCGTGCAAGCACCTCCAGCTGCCGAGAGCCCTGACCCTCTTCCTTGGTACCTAGATCCTGCCTACGCCAACTCGCTAGACTCTTCACCTGCAATCGATGAGTCTCGTCTGACTCGGCTTGGTAAGTCTCTCCCTTTGATCTCATCTTGTGTTTCTTCCCAAATGATTGGACGAGGAACTCATTATTCCGAATCTAGGAACCGAGGACCTTGAAGAGTCTGTGTGGTCCCCACCCCCCAAGCGTAAGCTTTATCTCGGCGCAATGGCTCCCCTGGAGCCCTCGGAGCTGCCTGACCTTCCGCCCATGACCAACCCCAGCTCGCGTGTTTGGGAATCTCACCGTCCCTCTGGATTGGACTTTACCATTTATGAAGACCCACAGGACCAGGAGAGCCCCAAGGTCAGTCCTTTGCAAGAAGGCTTCCACACTATCGAAGAGGATAAAGAGAACATCTTCCTCACTAGCTCTGACTATGGTACCTCTGACGAAGAAGAGGAGAATACTCGGCCCAACCTCGCTTGGAATGAAGCTTCCACCGGCCCACGCGATGCCTTCGGTCTGCCACTCAACCGCGAAATGTCTGATTTTGTCCGACCTCACTCCACTCCACTCCCAAAGCTCCACATGCGCCGTGGTCGAGAGGTCCTGCGAACCCTCTGGGCTGATGAGACACAAGTCCCCGAGGAAGGCAATGATCGGTTGCGTGATGAAATTCTGACGGACGCCCAGCTACGGGAGGTTGAGCATACTGAAGAGGGTTTCCAACAAGGTCGAACTATGCTCCGCCCTAACCGCCCCTCTGCTATCCGTGAGAATACCCCCGTTCAGGCTCCGGGCAACTTTGACCGAGATGTTCGCCGCGTTCTTGATTTCCACCAACACGAGGGTCGTCCTGCCACCCCTGAGGGAAATGAAGGTCGTCGCTCTGTCACTCTCGAGGAAAGCGAGGTGCAGCCCCAACAGCCCCAGCCGGAGCAGGAGCAGTAGCAGTAATCTGGGAAGAGATGGCTTCTTGCTCTCGGATTGTTTGCCACCTGGCGCTGTTCTGGCCTAACAATCTGGGACCTTCAGATTTGTGTCCTTTCTTCGAATGCGCTTTTATGATTCACGGCATGTATGACTAGCTTATTGATAGCCGATGAATCTTTGCTGTTATTTTCCAACAAAAATGCATTCTGTGTAAATGCTCTCGTAAATTTAATCATAGAGATGGCTTTAAGCATAGAAACATTTTATTTCTACATAGCGGCATAGCGGCGGATGGGAAAGATTGCCCAAATTCAACAAGTATTCTTGCCTACATAGATTATATGAAGTATATGATATCTCAAGCATCTTTTAGATGTATTTTTAGATGTATTTTTAGATGTATTTTTAGATGTATTTTTAGATGTATTTTTAGATGTCTTTTTAGATGTCTTTTCAGATACCTATCAATGTCTATTTGAAATACTCAGCCGCATACTAATCCACAATTCCTTCAAAATGAAGTTTCCCTATATGATCCAAATACGATAGACATAGCTAGCATATCTTGTGCCCTATTTGTATAAGTGGACTAGGCCTACTGTGATATTAGGCATCATTCATGCTGGCCGGCAAAAATTTGGCGTCGCTTCTGCTTTGTAAATACACTGAGTGTCCTAAAAAGGACTTCCTCCACTAAGAATAAATGCCCATCTCAGCCATAAGCAGTTCATCTCAAACCCATCCTGCGACACGCAATGCCATGATCCACATCATTGATTGTTTTTGTGGGTTTTTGCTTTTCATTCTTTTTTTAATGCCTCGCTGTATACCTCGGGACTGATCGTATTTCTGTCTTTTTTTTCGTTTTTGGTGCTTTTCTCTCCATCTTCTCGCTCATGCTTCCGCCGTAAAAACGCCAGCAGGCTAACTCCGTTTCTTAGCAGGCGCAGACCGAGTAGTAAATCCTGCGGAAGTGGCCCTGGAAGTGGCTTTTGGCACGTTCGACGCAGCTTTGGATGCATCCTTGGAGGTTAAATACACCCTAAAACCATTCCTTGAGTCATCAGTAACTGTGCCAAACATCTGGAGCAGTTCTTTGAGTGTGTTTCGGTCCATGAGCACATTCTGACTCAAGACCTCGCTGATCTCTTTGGCTTTGCGCTTCTGTGTCTTCTCCATCCAATCGTCAATGGACCATTTGACCATGAGCATGATGCATTCGACATTTCGTTGTTGACCAAGACGCCAAAGACGAAAGAATGCCTATTATTTCACGAGTTAGAACACCTGTAGCTCTATTTTCGTTCACGCGCGTCCACTTACCTGGTCTTGGACAGCCTCATTCCACCATAGATCAACCAGGATACACTTGTTGGCCACGGAGAAATCAAGGCCAAGACCACCCGTTTTAATCGAAGCAATCATGATCTTGGTTTCATTGTCATTCTGGAAACTGTCTAGGTGAATTTCTCGCGACCTGTTGGCCATTCGACCAGTAATCTAGTGAAGGCATGTTAGATATGAGCTCTATCGGTTCGTTGTTTTGGGGAACTTGCTTGAGAAAATTTCCAGTCATTTATTTCACACAGGTACTTCAAAAGCCTGGTGCTGTTGACGTACTGCGTGAAAATCACGATTTTGGCTGTGCTGTCTTCTTCGAGCCACTTTTTGACTTGAGCCGTAATTGCATCAAATTTGGCGCCCGGCATGGATCTCCCAAAATCTGCTATCCAATCTTGCTCTTTGTCAACCTCTTCCTCGCACGGAACATCACCCTCATCGGGGTTTTGGTCTTCCGCTCCGTCTTCGCTCTCAGACTCGCTTTCGTCTCCAGCTGAAATTAGGTTTCCGTCGGCCAATAACCATTCTGAGAATGTGTGACCAGAGTCTCTACCCTTTCGGCGTTTCCTGGGTTGTGCTTCTCTATCTGCGCTTGTCTCCGGTGTGGCTGGTCGCTTTTGCTGACCCGCTGATCCAAGAGAAGAAGACTCTGCATCTTCCAGTGGAGGTGTGTCGAAGTCATCGTAAATTCCGTAGAATGCAGCCTTTTTGATGGGAATTCTGCAACTACAGCACAATCGAGTGACACCATCTGTTTTTCTTTCTTCGTCAGCGAGTGCGTCGAAGCAGTCTTCGCAATAAAGGTGTTGACAGTCCGTGATAATAGCCCTTGATGGGAGCCCGTCACAGCCAGGACAGAACCAGGTGCGATGATCACTCTCATAGTAAGCTTCTTCCCTGATGAGTTCTTTGATTTTCATCTCGAACTTTGAAACAAGCTTTGCGCAATTGCCGGGCGGCCGTGGTCGAAGGTTTTCGCTTGGTGTTTGAGGCCTCAGAGGGGCCGTAGGCATTCCAGTTTGGTATTTACCTGCAAGACAGCACTTTGCAATTTTGCTTGATGGAGATGGACTTCCTGGGCTTGTTTCATCCTTTACCCAACCCTTTAGCTTTGTAACCAATCCGTTGTTGAAATTGCACACTCGCTTGAGGTAATCTTCTGCAGTAAGTGGATGGCTAGCGAACATCTGCAGCTTTAAGATCATCGTCAAAATGCATTTTCTCTGCTTTTTCTTTTCGGTGACTGTAGCCTTTTTAGTATTTAATCCAATCGATTACAACTTGGAGGGCTTCCAAGCTCACCATTGACTTTCTCGACGAACTTCTCCGCGATTGCAGTGTAGATTTGCTTTTCAACCGGGTAGAAATCAATCTTGACCTCCTTCAGATCAAATCTCTTGAGCTCGATAAGAGGTCTCCCCATATGACGGCTCTCGTGTGTCTTGCGATGGATGACGGCGCGAAGCGTATTGATCAAACGGTTTTTAGTAAGATCGGTCCCCTAGATTGGGAAAAGATGGTTAAATGTGCATTTTCCCGGACCAATGCAGAACTTACATCGCAGAAGTTATGCATGAACACGTCATATGGGTGGCTGTGGGGGACATCAATGAATGCAAATAGAGCATAAAGTTCATCAACGGAGCTATGTTCGAAAGTCAGCTTGAAATTATTTTCGAATTCATTTCAAGATGGCCTGTACTCACTTGTGCAAAGGTGTCCCGGTTAAAGCCCATTTGAAATTCCCACTCAGAGAGCGAACTGCAATCGATGTTCTGGTCATCCTGTTCCTGATAATGTGTGCTTCTGTAGACTTTACTTAGTAACAGTCTTCTTTGCTTTTTGTTTTCGAGCATGATTCACTTACCATCGAGAATGATTCTGTGCCAGTGGATTTGATGAAAGACACCTGATTTCTCCTCATATTCCCGATTCCACCACTCTTTGATATCATCATCAGTCTTGAGTTCAGGGGGCAACTTTAGGTCAGGATAGGAGGAAGATATCTCCGAGTATGTTGTCAACCTAGCAAAAATTAGCAATGCTATAGGGTGTCTCTGGTTGGAAGCAGCACTTACACAATGCCTCGTTGTTTAAGATCGTGAGCGAGGTTATCAGTTATCACATGTGCACCAGAGCAATGTGCAATGACGCTGCCGGCTGCCCCGAGCTCACAATGGAGCCGAATCTGCAACATCCTGCGCAATTCAGCGTTTAGATATGATGCTTAGTATGGTTAGTATGACTGAAGGAGAGGCCGTACCAGGTATCTATCAAACTTCTCGGGGCAACAATCAGAGTCGGACCTTCTGGCTCAGATGGCAACCTTCTGTTCACGATGCACGCTAGAAACCATCAGTTCTCTATTTATTTTGCCGCAGTCACCTCGCTGCATTTCTCTTACCTAGTGCCGACAGGGTCTTTCCAAAGCCCATCACATCACAAAGTAAGCCACCATTGGGCTTGCTCGAAGAGGTTTCGCGTTTGCACTACATTGATCAGTAAATTTGAGGTTCGAAAGAAGAAATGAACTCACCATCCAAGAGGCAGCCAATACCTGCTCTAAATATCAGTCTTTCATTTGATAAAAATGAATGTAGAAGTGAACACAAACCTGGTTTACCATAAGGCTTGCTTTCAGCCCTCTGACCTTCCATTTTCCTTTCCCGTCTGACCTTGCTGAAGGATTGAAAGTCTGTGTGGCTTCGTTCAGAATGGATATGTCTTCACGTGCTCCCGCCTGTTCTGCAACTGGGATGCTGGCGAGCATCTCTCTGAAGGCCTTTTGTTTGTTTTTCTCCGTAGAGACAAACCCAGGGGGTAACGGATCCTTTGCTTTTTTACGACCACCATCGTTTTTGAAAATGCTGCGAATTTCTTCCTTTGATAATATCGTGGGGTGGTGTCGATGTTTTTTCCGATTTCCTTTGGTGACAGATGCTTGCTCCGTTTCAGGCTCAGGTTCGTTGGCCGTACTATGCTTTTTAGCCCCTTCCTTTGAAAGCAACTGAGCAAGGCCAACATCTTTAGCCTTTTGGATTCCCGCTTTTGAGACTCGCGTAACCGGTCGCTTGACTCTAGCAGGCTTTGTCAAGTCTGCCTCAATTTTCTCTTCTGGTTGAGGGTCTTTGGGTTGAGGCTGTTCTTTCAATGCAGAAGAGATATTCTCGTCCTCGGTCCCTCCTTCCGGTTCTGCTTGGACAGTCAAGTCACAAATCTTGTCATTCTTGAACTTTCTCCCTCGTTCGAGCTCTTTCTCTCTCTGCTTTTCGAACTCAATCTGCTGTTCCATGGAGGGGGATTGCAGGGTTTGGAATTGTCTCTGGTATTCATTAAATCTAGGCTCGTTAGATCATTATCCTCATGAGGCTTCCTTAAAACTTACCCAGAAATATCATTTTCACCTAACTCAAGGAGTGGGTTGCTGGTATTGGAGGAGATAGAGCGTGAGGAATCATCGTCTCGCACGAACAAGCTTTCAACTGGTTGTTCAACGCTTTCAATTGACTTTTTCGTAGCCTTGTGGTGCTTTTGGGCGGACATCAATAAATTGGCACGCGGCATTGGCCGTTGAGTTGGCAAATCGTCGTCCTCTTCTGTGAGGTCAATGACGAGACGGCCTTGAAATTGCGGAGCATTGTTGAACTCTTGTGGTTCCATCTTGATTCCTGGTTCCTGTTTGATGTTGGGTGGTTGTTTGATGGTCAATTGACTGGATCTGCACCAGGTTTTGATACCCTGCTCATTCTCATTGGGGAACTCTTTCTTGATCCGCGGATATTTCAATCCACCAGAAGTAGATTGGTCGTTACCCGAGCTCCGCGCTGCCGGGTATATCGTGCTTTGAGACATGTACTGGATCCCCTCATGGGGTCCGAAAGTGAGGTGGCAATCGCTCAGTTTGAACTGGGACTGACCCATTTCAGGAGCCCTGTTCTTGCGGGGTTCTCCCTTGTCAGAGGATTGCATCTTGCTGGTTTCAAGAATGTAAGGATGAAAATATAAGGAGGTTAATTGAAAAACAACAAGGTATTAGCTCGTTCGTGTCTGTTGTAAAAAGAAATTGTTTCGAAATGGGAGTGTGAAGGAGAAAGGAAGAATAGGTAGTTTGGAGCAAACAAGGGCCTTTTATAGCCACTACCTAGGGAGACGAAGTTTTGTAATAGGAGTGTAAAGGAGAAATAAAGAATTAGTAGTATAGAGTAAACGAGGGCCTTTTATAGCTACCACCTAGGGAGATGAAGCAATTAGATAATGACTTTCTCGGAAAGCTTTTTATTTCGTAATGGGAGTGTAAAGGAGAAAGAATAAATAGATGGTATGAAGGAAACAAAGGCCTTTATAACCACTACACCGAGGGGTTGAGATGCATTCTAGGGAGACGCACCTAGCTAATAACTGGCTCGGATTTAGTTTGGTAGTTTAGGCGATAGGGTTAGTCGTTATTGCGGAAAACACAGTCGCAAAGTAAATCTGAAGGAAGATAGGTGATAGATATATGGTGCGAAGAAAAGAAACCCTTTTATAACCACTACTATGCCTAGGGCTTGGGATAGAACCTAAGAGACGAAAAAATTCGGATGGCGACTAGCTAGGATCTCCTTGAGCTATAGACGATAGTATAAAAGCTAGAATATAAAGGGGGAGAGATGGTAGGATGTATGGTGTGAAGGATGCAAAAGCCCTCTATAACCACCACGCCTAGAGTTTTTAGATGGGACATAGGGACTAGCTCTCGTTTGGTCAAAAGATGATGGGGGTTTTAGCAAATGGCGCAGTATCGGACTATAAAAAGATCTTCAAATCCGATCTTTAGAAAGGGCCTTAATATCATTCTTAATATGGATATAGATGAAGCTCGAGGGATCATCTTAGTGATCCATCACGGCAACCCATACATTAGGGCTATCATCCTTGTCACTATCTTCATTGCCTGCCCTTTCATATTATTTGTTCTTCGATCAATATGGCCCTAAGGTGCCTAACCTAATTTATCTATTTCATCGTATTTATTTATTTTTGCATATTTTCGACTTGAAAAGCTGAATTGACCGATTATGCGACCTCCATCCTTAATAAGACCTCTACTATATGATGTATCCATCTACCTATATCGGTGAGATCTTTTCTAGTTAAGAGAGGAAGCGAAAAGACATTCCTAGGACATCGATAGGTATTCTAACAGGGATATCAAGAAAGACATCAAACAGAATGTCAAAATGGAGTGTCAAAGAAGAGATCAGAAAAGAGATCAGAAAAGATGTCAAACGAAAATGTCTAAAAACTTTTTTATAAGAACTACAGCTAAAAAAATATACTAGAGATATTCCAATCATCCAAGTACCTCAATACCAAATCTCCAATTAACAATGTCAACTCCTTCGAATATATCACTTCACCCGCATTGCCGTCCCAAAAGTTAGCACTTAATCCTTCTATAAATATTTGCGAACAGAATAAGACAAGACCAAGAACCGTGTGCTAACAAAAGTTCGTATCTTTCAACATCGCTGCTTGATCAACGTGATCTTCATCAACTCTATTTAACCAAGTTCGAACATCTCACTAGGGCAGGGCATCTTATCTCTTCTCGTCTTCTCCTCGCTCATTCTCCTTTAACCATCTCTTCATCTCCTCTGACACATAGCCATCCTCAAGCCTCAAGTTGTTTCTATTCTCTTTCATTCTATCAACGTATATTTCATCTTTGTCATATTCGCAGTCTCCACCAGTCCCTTACTCAGTATTTCTTTACTCGGTTCCCAATACGTGCCTCTTATTCCTTCACTCTGACTCTGTGATCTTCAGCTATCATTCTCTCGCCGTCCTCTGTTTTGATCCACTCAACTCAACTCTTTTCTTCGCAACCTCCAGGTGTGTTGCTACAGTCAAATTCTTGCTTCATACTTGCGACAACCCACCAAGGCCCTTTGCCTCGTCCCCGATTTTGAGTTCGTACACCTACGGGTTCTCTCTCTACTCAACCTTCTGTTCCCTTCATTACAACTCTATCCAAAAGCACGATCTGTGTTTTTCTTGGGCCTCATCTCTGGTCCACTGCTCTGCATTCCGGTACCACCCCATCTTGCGACTTCAACATACAAGAGCAGGTCAAAATGGACCAACAAACTGAGAATACTGTGGACCCAAAGGAGGAGACCTCACAAGAGGTCCCGAAAGAGGCCTCGAAAGAGGCCCCGAAAGAGGGCCCGAAAGAGTGTCCAATTCCTGCCAATAATATGGAGGTAAAATCTGAGCCAGAAAGTCTGGCGGAAAGTCTGACCAAGGTGCCAGACGTTGAAATTCGCATCCCAGGTCCCAAGCCAAACGAGACACTGCGCACATTCCTCAGTTCAAAATTGCAGGGAAATGGTAACCCCGAACCAGAGGATTCGCCTAACAATCCCGAGAAGGAACCGCTGTATGACACTGACTCGAACTCTAAGGACGAGCAATCATCTGACGAGGATTTCCAATGTGCCTCGGAAGAGGAGTCAGACAGTGCCTCGGATGAGGAGTCAGACAGTGCCTCCGATGCGGAATCGTCTTCAGATGAAAACGCTGATTACGATCCCACACTGCCAAGGCCAAGAAAGAAAGGACCCCCAAGAGAGCGAAAGAAGAAGGCGAAAACATCGGCAGCCTTGACTGAGAAGGTCAAGGGCTTGATGACCAGCAACATCTTGAGCACTGCAAATGTTAATGCAAATGCAAATGCAAGCAATATTCCTGTGTCCCAGAAAAGGGACAAGGCAAAAGCGCTCGCGGAAGAAATATCGAAGCTTCCAACGGACAACCAACCGCAGGCCAAAAAAGATATGTTTTCATTGATCGAGAGCTCGAAGAGGTTTACGCCTTCCGCAAAAGTCGTAAACATGAACTGGCAGGTTAAGGGTCTCAACACTTTGCTGAAGCATCATCAGGTTTGAATCATGATCTATCAAACTCAATTTGTGATTTGTGACTAACCATTGAAACAGCTTAAGGCAGCTGCGTGGATGGTAAGCTTGGCATTCTAGTTGCTATGACATGATGTTTAACTGACCTGCATAGATCGATCGCGAACATTCAAACGAGGAGCCAAATGGAGGCTTACTCTGCGATGAGATGGGCCTCGGAAAAACACTTACAGTTCTCGGTAAGAACGAAAGATATGGGACCATCTTGTCAGAAAGCTTACCTTTTTCAGCAATTATCGCGAACGAAAAGATCACACGTCGTTTCAATGCTCCTACCCTACTCGTGGTCCCGAGAAGCTTGATTGCACAGTGGTATGTCTCACTTTTCGACTCAAAGACAAGGGGTGTGTTCCTTAACTCGACTGTTACAGGCTCGATCAAATTACTGTCCATTGCGCGGAAAAGATAAGCAAAGACGTTATCGAGTATTACACCGGTTCGCACACGAGCTATTCCAATGTTGTGAGAGTGATGGAAAAAAGGCGTATCGTGTAAGACAACATTTGAAGCCGGTTACTGCTTATTTCATGTCCACTGACCAAATAGGATCACCACATATGAGCAAGTCTGCACTTCATATCCGAAGCTAAAGCCACCAGTGACGATCAAGACTCCTGAAGAGCTGGAGGCCTGGCGGGAAGGGGAATATACTCGCAGAGCTGGACCTCTCCACAAGGTTGAGTGGCACCGGATCGTCCTTGATGGTATGTACATGGCGTTGCTATAAGGACATCTATTGCTGTTGATACTGACTCAGTCTCGCAGAAGCCCATTCTATCAAGAACAAAGATTCCGCGACCTCTATCGCTATCCGAGCTCTGAATGGCAGATTCAAATGGGCTTTGAGTGGAACACCTTTGCATAAGTAAGTATTATCTACTATGGCAAGCTTTGAACTGACTGAAATCTTCATACTGACTATCTTTTCCAGTGGCGTGGAAGAGCTTTATCCATACCTCCATTTCATCTTTACATTAGAAAGAATGGAGTATGAGACCTTCTTGAAGAAGTACTCTAATGTTGGTCTCGTGGAGCCTTTGCTTCAAAAACCAAAACTAACATTCTACTCAGGGACTGCACGAAATTCTTGAGACCGTATTGCACCGCAGTACATACAGTACCCGGCTACTTGGCAAGCCTATTGTCACACTTCCCGGCATTAACAACCGAGTCGTGGAGGTCGAGCTTTGCCAAGCTGAAAAGCACCTTTACCGCGAGATTCAAGATCTTGGCATTGCGATGCTCAATGGTAGGTCTAGCAATACCAGTGAGGAAGAGATTAAACGCTAACATAACCCACAAGGCTTAGCTGAAACAAAGGAACGGCAAACAAGATGCATCTTGGCCGTTATCACAATGCTGAGAATGTTTGTGAGCCACCCGCTCCTCGCTCAAAAGTTCCTCAAAGTCATTCTCACTCAAGGTGTAATCAAAGGGCTGAAAGCCATGGCACAAGAAAAAGGTGTGACTGAGACCTCATCTGGAATCATTCTTAATTTGATTCTCGCTGTCGGAGACAAGGTTGCTCCCCGACCAAGGCTTCCAGGAGACTTTTCCGAGCTTCATGGAATATATCACAACAAAATTTTGCAGGTCCGACAATACAAGGATAAGTTCCAGGAATTTCTACTCAGGTGTTGCCCTTGTTGCGAGGAATTGATACAGGGAGAAATTTCATTTGTGGTCACATCCTGCCAACACCTTTACTGCAAAGGTTGTTTTGACCAACTTCCCGACCAAAATGGAAAGACCGATACCATCACCCGAGTGTGCAAGTCCTGCGAAAAACCCATCGAGGAGGCTGGATACTCTGATGATTCACCCGAAAATTCACCCAAGAAGAGCTCACCCAAGAAGAGAAAGCAGTCCAAGCCCAGTCCAAAGGGGAAGAAAATTTTCGCGAAGCGGTCTTGCCCCTCATTCAAGAAGCATGTTCTATACAGAGATCCATCAGATGATGAGTGGAATGAGCCCATTGAGAATGAGGATGACTGGATCTCACGTGTTGGCAACCGCATGCCTTCGGCGAAAACCACAGCAGTCAGAGACCTAGTCGCAAACTGGGTGAAAGAGGATGAGGACGTGAAGATCGTCATTTTCGTTCAGTTCCTGAAGACGGCTCAAATTTTACAGTTCATGTTCGATGAAGAGAACTGGAAATATGCACTTGTACGTCAAGACTGGGAGAGAAGAAAAAAAAAGCACGCACCGTTTCACATAACTAACAATGTCAATATAGATTACAGGGAAGGTATCTCCAACCTCGCGCGATAAGCAAATCGAGCTATTCGGCAAGGATAAAGACGTCAAGATCATGATTTCTTCCCTGAAGACTGGTGGCGTTGGTCTCAACTTGACGATGGCAAACAAGTGCATCCTCGTGGATCCTTGGTGGAATGAGGCAATTCAAGACCAAGTAAGGAGTCAAAATTGAGATCTCAGAAGGGTTGAAAGGCCATTTTTAAGCTAACATTAACTTGCTAGGCGTACTGTCGTCTGTACCGCATTGGACAGCCGCGTGTTGTGGAATACGTTCAAGTTGTGGCTAAAGGATCAATCGACACATGGATGATCAATCTCCAGAAACAGAAGGCCCACAATATACACCAGCTCTTTAGTACGGACTCTCTCAAAGAGATCCTCGGTCTCTCTGGGGACATCTATGAAAAGCCAGAGGGTGGATTCTCCATTTTCAATAGCAGGGGAGACAAGCATGCCCAGACCTGGGTACAGGCTGTTGAATCAGTGGTCCTTAACGAGGGGAATTATTCGGAAGAAGACTAGGAGTTTATCCAGCAAGCAAAGAAGAAAAGCCAAAAAAGAGATGGGGAAGAGGTAAAGCGGGCAGATCGATGGATTTGAGCAGCAGTTTGTTTCAGCTGCGGGGGCATTTATTCTTATGGTTGCGCTGCCCAGATGGTTTTCCCGGGCAGGCATATACACACTCATTTGACTGCGAAAAATTTACACTCATTTTTAATAAATAGTCTGCATATAGCATGAGATTGCAATAGATTAGAAAGGGTAGTCGGCTACTTATACGGCCACTGTAAGACTTCAATGACCCGATGCATCCACTTGGCGTTAGATGGTATTAGGGACGTTATACGTAAGAACATACCAATGTGTTTACTCGTTCTTTTGAGATGGTCTTTTGAGATGGTCTTTTAGATGGCTATAAACTCAGTAGAAAGAATGATCAGGCAAAACCTAAACTAGTATAAATCGAATGTAAGAAAGCCCAAGTCCTCAATTCCTACCTCGTCTCTCGGCTTTTATCGTAACAGGCACCTCATTGTAGGCCTCTAGAAACATCTACTGGGACATAGAGCAAGGGACTACGTAGGAGGAAGAGACAATAGAGGAAAAATGATTCATATCATTCACAGCCCTAACCAAAAGTGGCCAGGTGAATATAATACATCATGCAATAAATACTCAAAATCAAGAATCATAAAGCATGGTCAAGATTTCCAATTTCATGGACAAGATCCTCGCAACATAGATTGACATGAGACGTGAACGAGCACCACCGATTGATTACTTTAAAGATTATAGAAAGGAAAAGCGAAAGGCCTGGTGATTGCGTAAGCTCCAGACCAATCTTAGATGAGGACAAATATAACAAAATGCCCGAGTTAGAGCCAGCCAGTCAAGTGGACTAGCCGGCTGGGTATCACAGAAGAAACAGGGTCGACGATGGTATGTCTGTATACAGAGCATATGAACAGGGTGCATTCGCCGGCCGGTGAGACAGATCATTGACCAGACACTCGAACGAGAGCTAGACCGCAATCAAGGATGCAGAGAAGGCGCTTAGTAGGCAATCTTCTCCTCGTAGATGGGGGGCTCGCCCTTCTCCTCGTTCCATTGGATCTTGCAGTTCTCGTCGAGGTAGGCGTCCTCGTCCGTGATGGGGATGACGCGCGAGGTGTGCGCGACTTCCTGGGAGCTGACTCCAAGAGCGTCGCGGGGAATCCAGAGAAGAGGAGGCTGCGAGGTGATGGCCGGGTGGCAGTAGGCGTCACGCTCAACTTCGGCGGGGTAAGTAGGGATCTCCGAGGAGCTGGGGACCAACTTGCGCAGCTGGTGGTAGTTGTGGTACAGGTCCGGACGCAGGAACTTGGTGAACACGTTCGGCTTAGGTGCTGGCGACGAGGTCTCGGTGAGACCCTTCTCGGCTGAGTCGACGCTGCCGAGGCCGTTGTCCACGTTGCCGACACCGCTGTCGCGGGGGCCGGAGATGGAGCCGCTAGCGCCGTTCAGGTCCTCGGTCTTGGACTTCTCGTTCAAGGTACCGATGTTAGTGTTCTCAGCGGCGAGCAAGCTCTCCTCCTCTGCCTCGAGGTTCTTGGGCAAGTAGTTAAGAAGGGGCTCCATGGCGGTGTTCATCGAGAGGTGGAACAGGATGACAAAGATCAGGAGGAGGATCATGAGGATCAGGGGACCGAGAGCCATCCTGTTGGCGCCGGAGCCAATGGCGAACAGACCAATCAGACAAACCATAGACAGATAGCAGCCGACAGTGAGCTGCTGCAGAGCACGGGTGTAGCTCCGACCCTGGGTGTCAATGGTTGCGTTCGACACATACAACAGGTTGTACCGGAAGGCGAAATAGAACAGGTAAAGACCAATGGTACCGAAGCCCATGACAAGCGGCGCAATGCAAGAGTAGACAATTGCTACAACAAAAGTTAGTATCGTAATCAAATAAATTGATCATGGGTTTTAACATACCGACAACGGTCAAAAAAGTGAAGGCAGGGTAAACAGTGCCCCATCCGAGACCAGCCAAGCTTGACCAACGAGTGTACATCTTGCGAGGGGTGCTATCCAGCAACCTGCCCAGGATCTTTCCGAGAATAAGGCCGGCAATCTGGAGCAAAGCACCAGCGCTGAAAGACAATCCCTGCAAAATGATGTAGGAGATATAGAAGTTGGACGCGGTAGGAATCTTCTGGGCCAACAGCGAGGCAGCCGAAGAGGGGTTATCAATGATACTACTGACGACACTGGTGGCAGATGACGCAACGGTCACGACCAGGAAGACCTGAACAACTTGGAAAGCGAAGAACCAGTTCTGGACGGTCAGTTCAACGGCAGCTAGACTGGGAGCACCACCCAACTTGGCCATGAGGCGAAGGATGATAGGGACTAGTGCCATGAGAATGGCCATCATAACAGTAGGCAGAAGACCGGTAATAACACCCTTAATCCATGACGGAACACTGTCGATAAACTTCAGGAAAGGAACGATCTTGGTCAAAGAGTCAATGTTGGAGATAGCACCAACGACTGCAGTGGGAATGGCCCAGAAGATGATCATAGCGCAAACAAAAGCAAGGGTGGCAGCGTAGCGACCGAGGCGTTCCCACCACTTGATGCGGAGGTTGGACCAGATAACCTGAGTAGGGTCTAAACCAATGTAGCGAGGGCTCATGTGAAGGGGGAGATTGTGGGCCACAGACTGGAAGGCAGCCTGGGCATCGGACTGATTGTAGAACTCGACAAAGACGGAGGAGACCAGCTTAGTTTCTCCGGCGCGGTGCTTGGCCTGCAATTCCTCGATTTCGGGGGAGAGACGCTCGATTTCCGAACGGGCCCAGTTGATAGTGTCGACCTTCTTGCCAATGAGCATCTTGAGACGGTGCGTGGGACGTTTTTTAGCCTCCACCCAACGAGCAGCAACGGAGCCAGACTCATCATCAAACTGGCCATCACCAATGTCAGTCTCGGGGTTCTCAGCCGAGCCTTGCTTCTTGAGAGCCTTGCTGCGCGCCTTGTTAGCAAGCACAATGAGCTTAGTCTCCGCACCCTCAAGCTTCATCGCAGCAGCATCGCGCTCCTTGACCTTCTCCTCAAGCTCCTTAGTATCGGTTGCGATCCAGACATTCTTGACCTTGTCGCGGCCAAACATAGTGCGAAGCTTGTCTTTGTTCAAGAGGTCCTCGGTAACAGTTGTAAACAAAACGGTACGAGATGAGAGGCGGCTAGCGTAGGCGGGCGAGAAAAGGTACGCCTGGCGCAGGTTGATATAGAAGAGGTGCTCGCGGGTGATCATGAAGAAGATGAAGGCGACAAAGATCCAGGCGAGGAAGCAATGGGCGTAGTAACGACCGTATTGAGTCTCGTGAATATTCGAAATGCTCAGCATGTTCAGTTGGATCTTTCCACCACCACCAGTGGCATTGACAGGCCACAAGATGGGGAAAGTGATACAGCAGCCCACAAACAAAATGACGGAGCAGAGTTTGAGGAAACGAAGCATCAGGTAGGCGTCCATCGAGTGGTGCTGCAGGACGTAGGTGTCGGGTAGCTGGTACATGGCCTTGATCCAGTCCCAAGTTCCGGTCGGAGAGTCGGGGGTGCGCTGCCAGGGACGGAGGTATCCAATGTAGGTTCGGGGCATGTACATTCTGCGATTGCTCTTACGCAGGATGATGAAGAGCAACACCATCACAACGAAGGAGATGAGGGCGGGGATTAGAGTGGTGAGCAGGCCAGACAGCGTCGGCGTGGTGTCTTGCGGATCATCGCTCTAGTATCATGGTATCGTTAGTAAACAACCAGGTACCTAGGTCTGCGACAGGGCTTACCGAGTCCCTGGCAACCAGCCAGTGAACGGCATCGTTGGCCATTTCGAAGGTATTCACAATGGTATATCCAAAGTATCCAAAACACAATTCAATTTCACGTGTGTGAAAGGGTAAAAGGAAAGGAGGGGAGAGGGGTTTAAGTCTCCCCAGGTGTGAGAGAAAAATAAAAGATAAGAGGGAAAAAAAGAGAGAAGCTTAAAGTTTAGGAAGGACCCATGGACAACAGGAAGGAGAGGGGCTACGATCTTCGATCTGTCTACGTAATTGGAGCACCTCAGATTGTGTTTTCGTGTTATTTGGGTTCATTTCCTATTTTGGAATTTTTGGGATTTATTTTTCTTTATTTTCTTTTTTTTTCCCCTACTTTTTCCTGCAAAATTGAACCTTTTGGAACTTTGTATCACATCTAGCGCTGGTAAATCCATGGGTGGCAATAGGACAATCCAGACTTTTGTCCACAGTGGTCGAGATGCAACTAAAGATCCTCTTCGTCGCAATCAATGACCCCCATCCACGGGTGGCCCCATTCTCTCATTCAATCACATGGAGTCATTTCATTTCATTTTTTTTTTTTGATGGGTTCAATTAAATTTTCCAGCCTTCAACACGGAGATGTCCGCCACACCACCCCAGCCACATCTCCATTGTACAACCTAAATGAGCTACTCGAGGTACTTCCACTCGATGACGATCATGACGCTCAATTAACAAGGATGTTTGTTAATTATGTTGTAACTGCGCAAGGGATGCTGTAAGACAAAACAAACTCTTTGGAATACTCCGTAGATACAGATACCTCGGTCGCACATATTCGGAATTGGTGCAAGCCCTAGAGAATTTATCTATCGGCCCTTAGAGAATCCAGGGGTATTTTATTCGTACTCCGTACTATGGTGTCTCCACAGATCAAAGTCCTCAGAAGGACACGAGGTTGTCTTTTATGTACTCCGTATGTTAATGCTTTTTTGCTATTGCTTTTTACCTTTTACTTTGTTTGTGGACTATGAACAAACATCATTGCAGTCTGCGGTGTCATTGCATACCCATTCCCGCCAAGTCATGAGGTGATCGTCAAATGATAATCTCATACGAAGTACCGAGTACGGAGCACCTGAGCTGGATCCAATAACTCTCGTACAGATCGGGATTTGTCGCCACAGAGAGCGCTAAGGCTAGCTAGCGGGCTACACTATTGACTCGGATCTGTATGTTCAGTGGGGCCAAGATTTGCATGAAACCCCTTCGCGTGTCAAAGTTGGTATCCATTTGTGTTGTACTCCGTATGTTGTAGGTAAAGTTAGCGAGCCCTAAGACGGTTTGACATTCCCACAACTTGAAACCTCAGCTGCGCCCCTAGGCAACAAGCGCTGCATTTACTACTCCGTACGCCTCCATGAGAAAAAAAAAATTAGCTTTCATATTAGATTCCAGAGCTCTATCATGAACCGTGGGTGATGAATTGATCCATTACTGTAATGAGGTACCTACATTGTAACGTTAGAGTCACAGCAAATTGCACGACGATCGATCTCACAAGTCACGGTGGATGGAGGCGACGCGAAACGCCGACGGATGGTACATACGTATTTGGTTAGCGCCAGGTCGGTTTTACCGTGGAGGTACTTCGGTGTTACGCATGCGCTCGGTACTCATGGAGACCCGATCTGCTAAGTGGTGAGGTAACCTCTGAAGGATCATGGTTTTTTTTTTCCTTTCTTTTTTTCCCCTACATCGATATACCATGCAGAGAATATCAAATCATCTGGAAATCTGGAACCGAGGGGCAACCAGTCCTAGAGCTTCCAAGGTTACCCCTTAGTCTCCACTGGGGTGAACTCAATGACGCTTAGACTTATCCTGGTACTCGGGTCATCCAGGACTGCCAAGACATTCCACTCGTGCCTGACTTGTGTGTTGATGCTATGGTTGTATTCCGTATAGAACAGCTATGTGGAGTTGAAATCAAAGAATTTGTCATTGAGAACTATGTGCACTATGTCGAAGCTCCTCTTCAAATGCAGTGACCCCACGGATAGGGGTCTGAAAAGATAAGAAACTCATGAGAATCTCATTAAACTGGAATTGGAGGTCGGGCCGTAGCCGTTTGTGCGCCCTGAGCAACTCGCCAGTGGACCATCCACGTTCGGGGTCTTGTAAATCGGTTTCATGTCCTTCCTCCAGCAGCAACCACAGAAGGGTTTCGCAAGCTGGATCCCGATCGAGGTGGTGCTGTTTCGCCACGGTACACAAGAAGTGAAGGAACCGGTCGGTCTTATTGGGGGACTCTTGGAAATCCCACAGTGCAGCCGTAATATAAATGAGCGCCGCCGTTCGGGTGACCTCTTGGGTATGTGCATCGCGGACGACATACACACGCGACTCATGCGGCACCTGGGAGGGCCGTGGTCCACTAGACAGCAGGGAAAATAGAGGACATTCCATCTCAAAAGCCTTGAGTCTGTGGGGTGCTTGAAGAAGGTATTCGGGGGAGCTGTGTTGCCGCATGAGATCTTCGGCCCCGCGCAGGAAAGTGAGTAGCCATTGCTGCTCGGTCAAACTGATCGGGGGGCCTTCTGGCATCATAAGGTATCGGACGTAGTGGATAAATACTTCCACGGGCCTGTTGGTTCCTGTTCTCGGTCGCATGACCTGGACCGCCTGGTCAACATACATTTGGGCCCGTTGCTTGTTCCCGAAGCGCCCTTCGTGCAAGGCCATTCCACCCAAGGCCATTGCAAGGTCATCCGCTCTAAGTAGCGCCGAGCCTGACGTAGCGTTATCGATAAGTTTCGCGGCTTCACCAACATGGCGCCGAATCTCGGGGCTGTCAGACATGCCGTACAGTTGTGCTTTCCACCGCGCGCAGTATGACAGGACTACTGCCTTGAATGAAAGAGGATTTCCCATAGCTGTGCGGAAAATCTGGTTTTTTACGTGAAGGTTTTGTCCGGACCAGTACGTCAACTTGTTCCTCCAATAGTCAGCCAATTCAATATCCAGGTTGTCATATTCAATTGGGAGACTGGCAAACGGATCCCTTCGCGAAGCATCGAGTATCGTGATTGGCGAGCCAATGTGTGGTAGCGCGGATGTATGAGGTTGTGGTTTCATATTTGAGAATCTGATTTGTAGCTGCAACACACCATGGAATTAGCATTTAGATCCATCATCTTTGCAGCTAAGCCTACTCCTAGATATGCCTTGGCCGTAGCCTAGATACTTGACTTAAGGAGAGTGATTACCATACCGAGGTTTCTCCGTTGGGAGGGTTTTGCACAGCTGTCGAGGACGACTCCAGTCGTGTCTTTTCAACATCTCCTGCCTCTTTCTTCGCCGGATATGAGGTATAATCTAGAGTTTTCTCTGTAGGAGATGTCCCACGCGACATTTTGCGCTGTTTCCTTTTTTCCTGTACATGGTGGCGCATAACATGAGCGCGCTTTTCTTTGGATGACGAGTTTTGATCAACAAAGTAGAAGTGTTGGTTCTTGGGAGGTGTGCTTGTCGATTCAGCGGCACGTCGTCGCCTTCCAGGTTTGGCCGTTTGAGGGACATGCCCAGAGGCAGAGGGTGCTGTTTAATAAGCTTTAGCTGATTTGTGCATACAAGTTGAAAGGTTAGCTTGTAACGACGGGCGGGAAGGCGTACCCGATGCATCCATGTCAGACGGGCCCAACGGTGGGACAGCGCTGGGCCTGGTTAGTGTCGATACTAACCGTCGTTCGTTCTCAGACATGTCGAGCTGCGAGAAGATAGATTTCCTTTGACGAGACAATAAAGCAGTCAAGACTGCATAACCAACATATGGTCACCAAGATTCCTCCAGCCAAGGACTCGGGATTTGGAAGAAACCACCATCGCAAGACATACAAGTCCTATGTAATGAAAGTGTCAGAGGGTCACGGAGAATATGCCCGGAGGAAAGGGTGATGAAGAAATCACGCTAGCACGGAATAGTCTAACTTACGAGGCAATACAACGCGAGGGGAATATAATTCCCCGGTAGGGAATAATGGGATGGTTTCAGATGCTCAAGTGCGGGCACCCCGGGGAGGAGAAGCTCTTATATAAGCGCCAAGCATCAACCATTTACCCAATGGATAAACCGGCAGATGATTAATTTCAAGCCCACGGAGTATATGCACACATACGGAGTAGTGGTAGATCAGAACCAACATTGCTTTATTGACCTGTTCGCTGTCGTACTTGATGCTTCAAATGATCTCATATTTACATTTAGAGTACGGGGTATTTCATTTTAAACATATATTATTATGCTGTACTCCCCAAATGAGAAATAGTAGTACCTGGGATTTGGGATATATCATTTAAAGTGGGTTTCTGGTTGAGGGGCTCACCGGTCCTATATCCATATTTGTCACATATTCAGTGAAAAGGGGTCTTGCTTTACGACTCTCATGTTAGAATTGACAAATAATTCGGGTCAAATAGGCCAAACTGACAAGCGTTGCAGTTTTCCCAAGACTATGCTACCCTACTTGGCCTTTGATTCTTAGGTATGTATAAGATGAACATGTTTCGGTGTTTGAAGACCAGAAGTTAGGCCGTGACCTCGGGAAACTCGGGAGCTAACATTTGTGCGCCTCATATGAACGATAGTGGGGGCGCTAAGCAGAAGACTCAATGTTATTTGCAGTCAAGATGAAGAGGACCTACTGCCTATATGGGTTAGCGTGGATACTTACATAAGTAAACCACTTAACGCGTCGGTTTGGGATCAACTATTTTTCCGAACACGCGTTCGCGTCGCGCCTTAGTTGCCCAAGGAGACCCGCGAAGGAGACCCACGAAAAACTAAGATAGCAAACTGAGTCTACGATATCATCTCTCCACATTTCCTTTTTCCCCCTCAAGACGTGGGAGCTTAGTACCCTTTTTTTTACATTGGGCACTTTCAGGCCATCAGCTCTTTGCCATGTCTTCCCTTTTCGATGCCGTGATCCAGTCCGAGCTAGGCTCTGCGCTTTCTCGTGACCAAAACCTCCGATCCGACAATCTGCCCAGCTCCCGACGCTCAGAGA